CCTGTAAACTCATCAGCCATTGCTTTTTGGTGATTACGTAATGTTGTTTTATGCCAGCTGAAGGGCCCTTAATTAATAATGTGGTGCCTCAAATCGGTGTGGGTAAAACATGACATTTCCTATCCATATTCAGGGTCTTTATTCTTTATCAAAGGCTGTTGAAAATGGGTAGATGTATGTTCAGGGCAGTTTGTATGTGTTCAGAATGCAGGTCAAGAAGTCAGGGGTGGACAATGGACAATAAGTGATGGTTGCACCTCTGTAATCTGATCCCCAGCTCTGATGACACTTCCTAAGAATGGTAAGATAGGGGCTTGACTGCCCAAGCCTGACTGACTATCAGTTGCTTTTAATACTGGCTGGCCACTAAACATTCGTTACTGGTATTTTGTCATTTCAAAATTGTTCAGCCAATACCACTGACTGAGTGCAAAACCATTTACATCGGAAAATGAATCTGTACATTTTAGGTTTATATTTTGTTTTCATCCATTTTGTCAAATAAATTGGTGCAAACACATTTAAAATTTAAAGGTAATATATGTTAAATAATAGCCAAATGTTAATTTTACCCTTGGTCCTTATAAAGATTTAGGTAAGTTACTAAAATATGTAAGGTTGAGTTTTTGGTTTATCATGTTGGAGTCCAAATTACATGTACAACTAAGACAAAATACTGAAGATTTATTGTAAAATTAATAGAAGAAAATGCATATGTAGTTGACAGTCATGATACAGACTGTCAGAATGTCTTTTTCACTTTCTTGATAAAGATTAGCATTTTGATGACAGCTATCAGTTTATACCCTTTTGGGTGTTGAGTGGACCTAACACCACAATGGTACATACAAGATAATGTCTGAGTGGACAAGATTAGATAGAACTGACATCTAGAGGGTGGTCAGTTGATGTAGCTGTCTGGCTGCATTGAGTGCTGTGTGCAGTCAGTCCTGAGATCACGTGCAGTGAAAAGGAAGAAACGTGTTTTAGTCTCTTTCCAATGTTAAGGTACTGGAGTTCATGACATCAGACCCTGGCTAGAATGAATAAACTGTCACACAAATGTCTTGGTCCGGGAAGGGACAAAATCTCTCCCGACTAGAGAAATTCACTTCTTGTCACAATAGTACCAGTTTATATGCAGTAAGTGACTTGTTTGTGTTAGGCAGAGTTAAAGAATGGACATGATGATGTCTTCAAGAAAAAAATGTCATTAATCATAAGGCATATCCCTTCCAAGTACTTGCTGATGGTGTTATTTAATCTACAAATGTCCCTCTTTCCCACCTGAATAGAACTGTTGACCTAGTAGAACACATGGGAGCACATACCTTGTAAATTACCAAATTAACACCAGTTACCTGCTGATTTTGTCACTTTGCTTAATTGGACACTAGAAAACCCACAAGGTAATCTTAAAAATTGTGATTATTACATCAGAAAGGTAGAGTTTGAAAGCACTTTCTCTCAGTAAAACCCAGCCCTGTTGAAGGTTATCTGGATAAAGAGTTATGTAATGGCATTGGAAAGGGGTCTCTCCCAATTTTAGCTTCTTGTTAAGTGCAAGACCATGGGACAAAAGGAAACTTTGCACCAAGTAAGGTGAGCAAGCAGGTGACCATTGTTTAGCTGCTTTAATTTGTTGGCCCATTCAGGACCTGGTTTAACAGTCCCCAAAATGTTAGTAACCCAATGCTTAGATATTGACAGTGGGGTAAGAGACCAGATAGGAGCTGCTGCTACTCTTCTGAAATTTAATCAGGAATTGCTCCACCTTTTAGGACTGAAGGAAATAAAAAAAGGCAGTGATTTGAGGACATAAGGTCAGTGGAATTTGAGTAGTGACCAGGTGTACTATCATAAAATGGCATAAATTTAATATTTATTTGATTTGTTCTTGTCCAGAAATTGTAACAAGGGGCCACTTGACACTTGTGGCTGTAGAGAGGTAACACTGTACAATGATATCCCACCTGTCCTTGAGAAGATCATAAAACATGTGATGTTAATGTGTGAACCCATCCAGGGTTCTCAGCAAGTAAGACACATTTTAGGGTTCTATGCCTTCATAAAAATTTATAACATCAGGACTAGTTTTGGACAGTTGTTTTGAATGTGAGTTCTAAATTTGTAAGATGCATAGTGAACCTATAATCATGGATTCTATCTATCTCATAAATGTGCCTAAAATTTTATTCTACTCTGAATAGTATTTGCTCTATTTGGTATCAGAATCAACTTATGTTACTGAATGAATTTCAAGTCTTTTTTCATTAGCCCCCCTCCTGTTACAGTTACGTTTTACAATCAGTATTCTGTCAGGTAAAAAAAAAATTTCCAAAGTAGAACAAATTATTCCCAAATTGTATTCATCTGAGAAGTTTTATTGTTTTCACAGTCCTGTTTATCCTAGATCTTGACTTTTTTCCTCATAACATCAAAGAAAACCACAGGTATCTCAAGGATGTAAGGTGAAGCACTGACACATGACTAGGGAGTACAATTGACCCTCTTCAATCCATTATTTATTTCTTCTAAAACTAAAATAGGGAAACTGCACTTTGTTGGGTTGCATTTTTGTACTTTTCTATTTGTTTGTAAAGAAATAAAATAAGAATATTCCCCAAGGTTTTTATGGTGGACGAAAAGATGAATGATAAGGTAAAACATTCCTGAATATTTACCTTTTGATAACATTGAGGATTAGAGAAACTTCTCTGATTCAAAGTTAATGTACCTGTTAGATAACAAGTCATTTCTGAATTGCCCCTATGGATGTCTTTAAAAGTTAGCTTGCATAATATCTGTCATTTTATCTGGATAAAAGTGACTCTCTACATACTTTTGACTGAAAATGTTATAAAAGGTACCATTTGCTATCTCACTCAAATTACATGGATTAGAGACAGGAATTTATTAGAAATCTAGAGACCTTCTTGAGACTTGATTAAAAGAGACTATACAGATCCTTTTCAGCCACTTATTGAATTGTAATCCCCCAAGGATGAATGATTGAAATTTGTGATAAGAAAAAGTTGCTTGTTTATCTAACTGAACTAGTATTTTACATAAAATCGAGCTCCATTTCAATAAGGTTTATCAAAGGTTTTTTGTCTCTACTGACAATTCAGAAACAATGAATTTGTTTAGGGGTAAGATATTTTACAAAATGCGCATGATGCCATAATAGTAAATCTGTGCCTGTTAGTCCTAATGTTTGTCTACAGTGGACCACTCCTGAAAGAAATCTTCCTTTTAGAGTGTGTCACGCACGCAGAGGATCCATTACCATTGCGAAAATATAAAGTTACCTTTTAAAAAGACATTGGGCCCATGCTTGGCAGCTTCTAACTGGTACATAAACTATCATTAGCCAATAAACAAACCATTGGCCAATACAGTAGAGATGTATTGACAGTGGTGACGCAGGTAGGCAATTTTTAGCAATTCAGAATCAAGAGCTGGTATACGTCAGATGAAAGTTGCAAGAGAGTGTTCAAAAGGATAGATCTGTACTTTCTAGGTAATTGTGTTCTGAAAAGGTAAATTATTTTAAAATTAAGATTTTTTTCTTCATACACATCAGTGGATATTTTTTAAGTATTCAAGTTGTTTTCTGTTCATCATCATGATTATCAGCATGCTTTAATTTTATGTTCAATTTTTTGCAATGACTACAATAGTAATTTTTCCTTATGATATTCAAACCAATACTTTCTACGTATGGTATTTACAATTCTGATCACTAATTGTGGTTGATCATCTCATCCACTTGGCAGAGTAAGATGTCAAAGTATGTTACCAGAGGAAGAACATTGCATATTAAATGAAACTCAACAATCAGCTTCCTGTTCATTTGTTTCCACTCCTTGCTCTCAAAGTCAGATGATATTCCAGTTAAGCATCAAATCTGTTTTAGTGTGGATATGATTTCGTTTAGTTTCTCGTTTTTTGATGAGGGGTTATAGATGCTTGCTTATGAATACTATATAAAGTATGTGAGGAGCCTACGGCAGCCAGGAGGAGTGGAGAGGTGTTTTATTGCTCGTAAACTCTAAATAGCCTGTAATCACGGATGAGCATCATACAAATGTCACTGCTTTTTACGTGGATTCAAACATCTGAAGTATTGAGCGCTTTCACTAACGTCATTTTTCTAGGAGTAATGATGTCAGCTATATTTTCTCAATTTTTACATAAAAGTGATGATTATGGATCAGAGTGATCACAATTAGGTGTGAAGACTGAAAGGTTAGTTGATTGGTAGGTGAGGTTTAAACAGCTTACATAAAGTCCATTGCAGATGTCAGTTTCAGGAGAAATGTGATATTGATTATGAATTCAAAATGATAATTTTTGTTGGTGTCAGTTGTAAATTTATTAATTGTTGCTTCTTATTTTTGCAGGGTGTGCAAAACCAAGAACGCTACCTCTTTTTATTCAACGACCTACTTCTGATCGCCAAACAAAAGTGAGTATAATTTTTCAATCTATAAATATGATGCAACTCGGTTTGTCTTAAGTAGTAAAGAGGAACAGTAGTGTTCATTTACACTTTCTATGCATTTTTTTTTATGAAACACAAAACACAAAAATTGGGTGCAATCCTAGCTCATCCCCAGTGAAACTTGTTATTGAATAACATGGGATGAAATCTGGCCAATTCTCTAGGCATATCATGTAGATAATACCAAGCAGAGACAGACCCATATTATTCCAGTATGCATATCAGTGACAATGCTGACACTTGGTTACAGTCTTGTTGCCCCAGGCAGGACCTTACCTAGATGAGAGACCCTGGAACTTTATTCTGCACATTCAAAAAATGTCCTTAATACAGAATCTTGAAGTTAATTTCAGAATGTAAATTTGATTACCATGTTGTATGACTCATTTTTGGGTAAGGTTCTCTGGGTTGAATTGATTTTTTTAACTGAAGACATAAATTTTAGGTTATGTCGTTGTCTTACTATGTAAATGTCTTCTTGTGCTTTTAAATTTTAAAATGGGGCTTTATTAAAATGATCCCAGTAAACTTTCATAGCCAAGAGAGTAAACTAGTCCTTTGTCTTATTCTAAAGATAACCTGATACATGTATAAATATTATTTGTTAGAGACAGAGAATGAAGGAAAAAACTGTTGTTAAAATTGGTTTCATTCTGTTGTAAAACCCATAATGGGCATTCTCTTAGAGTTCTCTCTGTCCTCTAAGCAACAACTAGCAAGTTGGACTAACAAGGTTAACTTTCAATGCATAAGGTTAATGTCTTTATCCCACTTTGCAACTGATAAGGGACATGCAAACTTGTCTGAACATAGGTCTTCAAAAAGACATTGAGGTTTGTTTTTCTTTTAGAAGATTATCCTTTCTTTATGATAAAATTTGGCAGGAGGGGCTGCTTAATGTTTATGATTGCTAGTATAAGATGATATTTATTAAGATATTTCTCAGTGATTTGTGTGTTCTATTTTTTAAGAACAAGTTTGTTTCTTCATCAGACAAATTTACATATGAGGTGCCTTGTAGTTGAAATTCCAAATGATCTTTGTGTGCTGTTGAGTTAAGCATTGAAATCAGCAGGACAAACCCTACACCATTGAATTTATAATTCCAAGCATCAGCACACAGATTGTCAAGCAGGTTGATGTACCTGTAGGCAATATTCCTGTAGTAAACAATATGTAAAGCTTTGATTAAACATCACCGGGTTATTCAGACCTATGAATGCAATACCAATGTTCTTGCAATGAGGATATTCAGATTTTCTTAAAGTGTTTTCATATCAAGTTGAATTTCATTTTACTTATTTGTCCAATTTCTTTGTGTTTTTCTGAATGTGTTTATAAATACCAAAGATAATTTTAAATATACCCTTGGCTGCTCAACTCAAACAGTTTCTTTGTCAAAGTATTTGAGGGGAGGGGAGTTGTACATTTTTTTAAAAACCAAGGTAACAAACCAGCAAACAAACCACAGGTAACAAACACAGCAAGTATTGGTGGAACTGTCTCATTATTTGCTGAACTTTCGTGTAATGTGTTCTTTTACAACTAAACAAGCCCTTTGTGACATGCAGTGCCTTCATTTCTTGTCAACAGTCTGTGTTCCTATTTTGAAACTGGTCCTTACTCTTTCACTTGTTTGACTCCAATCTCAGGAGCACAATTTGAATTACAAATCTAGTGATATCAGATGAAGGGGAATATTGGCCATGTCAGATAGCAATCTCCCTGCAAATTTAAGGAAGACTATACAAACACTAATGTACAGTGTTGTGATCAGTCTTGCATGTTAATAGCTTATTGCCTTCTCTGTTGTCCCTGACTGTAGTTTGTGGTATATAGCATAGATGAGATTGGTTTGGTAATCAGTACTATGTGACTACGCATGGACAGAATTGTGGGGCAGAAACGGAAGCTTTTTTTTATAGTCAGTTAAGGTTTTTTTTTGTTTTGTTCTGTTTTGTTTTGTTTTGTTTTAACTTTAAATTTGTTTTTTACTTTTGCATATTTGGGTTTTTTGCTTGTTGATACAATGAACATTAACATGAAAATTATGAGGATGCTTAGGTTTCAGTGTTTTGTTTACTAATAGAGACCAAGTTACAGTAAGTAAATTCGGGATAATAAATTTTTATCTAAAAAGATGAAAACAAGAGAACTTTCCTGTTTATCTAGGAGTCAACTATTCCATAGGGTAGAGAACATTGTTTCATAACCTGTGGCACTGCCAACCAGATGTACAAATCGTAATGATTTTTTTTTTCAAATCCACAATGAGTTCTATAAGGTCTGGACCTTTACGCTAATTTATGATAAATGTGTACAGCTGACATTGTGAGCATTTACTTCATGGATGAACAAGGGAGGAATGCAAATGATGAAATCGATCTTTTTTGTGGTTTCATTTTTTAGTACCAGATTCACCATGTGATGTCTGATCTATCTAGCTCTGCTATTGTATTGTTGGTCTTATCAAAAAGTGCATTATGCTTCCAGTACAGTGCCAACTCGCATGTGCCACAGTGAGAGATCTCCAGAGTTTTATCTGTGGTCTACAGTATGTACTGTGGTCAGAAGTTGGCATCATGACATTGGCAGAGATATCATCACATTGACCTCTTTCTTTCTTTTTATCACAATGTTACATGATATTTCATTTTCCAGATCCAATATAGCATTCAAACTCAAGCATAGGGTGCGTGTTTGTGAAATGTGGACGGCCACATGTATAGAAGATGCTTGTGAAATCACGAAGCCTCATGATAGATCCTTCGTCATGGGCTGGCCAACAACAAATTTTGTAGCAACCTTCAGCACGCCAGAAGCAAAGGAAAACTGGTTGGAGAAATTGAAAAAGTGAGTGCTTTTATTTGTTGCATTCTTCTGTTACCATAGCAACTGCTGCGAGTTATTTAAGTTTTTGATGGCTAAGGACTGATTTATTTACTTGTGTATTTTCATATGTTGTAGCAACTGAGATCTTATTTACCTTCCTAAACAAAACTTGGTCTAATCTCCAGCTGTTCTAGCTATTTTAATTGGTAGTGATATACAAGTGTTGTGGCCAGGTGCTTGTGACCAGTGTGTACCAGGGAACTTTGGGGTCCCATCACACAAAACATTGTAACGTGACTCATTGACTGTGTGGGCTGGGATACTCCCATCTTTCTCTGTTTCTGTCTACACAAACTGACCAGTTCAATTTGACAGGGCAGTGAAACTTTATTGTGTCATTTAATTTGATGGGCGACCATCAAAAATGAAAATGATGGCATTTCAAGTACTCAGTGATTCACATTAGAATGATCAGTTAAAAGTCTTTAGTATGTAATATTACATCATTGTCTGTGTTAATGTAATTTGAAGTCTTGTGGCCTTCATGGTCCTATTACATTCATTTGTACCATAAATGAAGTCATCAGTGTCACATATTGAGAAAGGCAGTGACATAGGAGTTTGAATTTGAGTTAGCATGATATGCTTGAATGATCAAATAGCAAATAACAGGGAAAAACTGACTATTTGAATTGAAATTGAAATGAGCAAATGCTTCTTAGAAAAGTATATAACCATCTGTTGATTGAAAAAATACTTTTAGTCATAAAACAGATTCAATATACCATTTACAACTAGTATATTTATTTGAAAAAGTATATTGGGAAGTTTTGATGGAAGTATTCTTTACATTTTAGGCAAATTGAAGAGGAAAAAGCCAAGGAACAACCTAAGAGCATTGTCTTGAAAGTTGTAAACAAGGACATGGATAATTGTCAGCATGTAAGTTTATGTAAATTTTCTTTTACTTAATACAGAAGTTGTACTGAAATTCATAGACAAAACAAGCTGGCTGAAAAATGTGCAAAAGTAGATATGCACAGAGATATGAAATGACTAAAGGCAGATTGCTTTATGATTATCCTCCTGTCCTTGGTAACCAAGGGTTTATCCCACCATATTTCACAGTCTGATGAATTGCTGATTAAATCTTTTATAACATCTCCCAATTTGACATTAGCATCAGCGTAATGCCAAAAGATGCTTAATTACATTATCCCACTTTTCAATTTCAGTTGTCTGAGTGTTAATTGAAATTTATCACTACCTGTATAGCCTAGTTATAATATGTTCTAAGTTTGGTCAAGAAAAATTGCCCTTTCCCCTTCAGAGACAACCAACTTTCTCATCTGTCATTTTAGATGAGAATACCAGAAAAAAAGAAAGAGTCGTGTAGTAAATTTTCTAACCTATTATTTTTATATCACATCATTATATTGTTCACTAGAATAGAGGGAAACACAGTTGTAACTTGACAAATTTTTTAATAAGATGAATGTTACTTACGAATGTTTTGTTTAAATTTTCTTTCAACTACCAATGCATAGTTTTTTAGAGCTGTAAGTATACCTTTGAAATGAGAATTTTCAAAAATAGTACTTTCATCAATTATGGCTCAAACTAGTAATTAGCCAAGGCATTTATAGTTTAAGCATACTATATATTGTTATAGAATTCACAACTTGCACTGAATATAGTCATATAAGATATAGCCGGCAACATCAAGGAAGACACCTGTGGTAACTTTGAATGCCTTGATTAAAAAAGAGTTTGTGGCCCTATAACGACAGGGATCATTCTGTTGAATAGACCATCACGTCAACAGAGAGGCAACTTAGTGAGTGTAAATATTGTGAACTTGGCAGTGGGAGGGATGAATGAGGCATAAATGGGAAATACACATAAACACCCTAAGTCCGGTGTAGTTTATGAATAAACCAAATACCAGTAGGTAACCTCAAGGGTCAACATGTTAAAGAACCGAGAAATACTCTGCTTGTGTGCATTCGTGCTAAGTTTGTTGTTGTGGCGCAGTAACAAGATCATTAGTGATTTTCAATGAATCCATTAAATACCCAAACTGAACAAAAGAACTCAGATGTTATGGTCACTTTATGAGTATGGAAAGAGTTCATTTGCAGTAGCTCAATTTTTTCTGCTTAATTAACTAGAGTGCTAGGTAATATTGGAACTTCAAAGCAGGGCTAGTCTTTCTAATATTGCTTGCACAAAATTCCAATAATCCGAAAGTTGTGAAAATATTTACCAATATGTTTTGTGTGGTTTAACAATGAAGATCAGAGACCCTGATATATTGATTTAAGAGAAAAATGAGCAAATCATATGGCCGAATTCATATGTAAAGGGATTAATTGGGCGATTTTGATTAATTGAGGTGATTGATATTTGATTCTATTCTTATTTTCCACCAGACCAATATTCATTGATATTAAATCTTTTCAGTAAATTGTTGCTTTGCTTAATAAGCTTCGATTTTTATTTACCTTAATTGGATATTGATGTTGTGAAGAGGAAAATTACTGGGCACAGTCTGCATTTTAGATAAAGATTTTGTTCAGTAAACACTAAGCTCCTTAAAATGAGAGAATTTTGACAACTGACCAAACTGGGTCGATCATGGCACCTCGAACAAAATCTCCTGACAATCTCTACACTCAGGTATGATTAACTTAAAATAGAGGACAAAGTTTTGTTTTTTCATGACTTATCTACAGTAATTACAGGTAAGATAACAGCAGCAGTATGTGTGGTTAGAAAAAGAAAGGGGAATCATGTCACACTGCTGTGGTGTAATTTGAATTTGACATTCCAGCATGATAATTTATTGAATGGATGATGACACATGGGGCGTGTGGGCTCAAAAAGAGAGCAACACACAATTTGATGAATTGGTATTGAGAGTGAGTGAGCCATAGCCAAGTTGACTCCACTCACATCACAAGACAGTACAGCTGAGACAGGGGAAGGTGGTTGGTTGTAGCGGTTGATACTTTGTCTTTGAGGAATGTATTCTGACAAATAGCCTGATGGTGCTGTTTTCTGTGTTTCAGACCAAGAACATCACAGTGTCCAACACTGATTCGGTCAAGGAATGCGTCAAGATGTGTGTGGATCAATTTGAAATAAAGGTAAGACAATTTTATCCATATTAGTAATATTTTGTCTCTCTGCTGCTGCTGCTGATGTTTATTGTTTTGTGAGATCAGTCTTGATGACCAGAAGAAAAACATTATTTATTTGGTTTATTTATTTTTTTCTTTGGACAAAAGAGGAGTTTTGAAAAAAGGTAAATAAACACAGTGATATTGTTGATCAAAAGACTATTGTGATGGGTAGATCTAAAATAAGAAACCTACGTTTGAAAATGAATATGGACTTGGACAAGATACTGTTGATGTTGTAACAGGGCACCACAACACCACTATAGTTAGAGAAACCAGTCTTTTATTCAATGATCGATGGCTTGGGCTGTGATGAAATAATAGTATCACCAACAGAATAAGCCTTCTCATGTTAACAGGAAGGTCCCATATTTCTAACCTCAAGGTGTTTGTGTTTAAACATGATACTGTCCCCTCAAAATTGGCTAATAAACCTGGCATAATGGGACTCATAGTATTTGAAGAATATTATTTAGACAATTATTTGGAGACAGATGGATATTGAATCTTCAGGTTATAAGTGTTTGTTGCAATTTGGTTAGCCTGTTTGCTGGACAAAGTCATTTTTTTTTTAGCAATTCCAATATCCTTTGTATTTTAAAGAGAAAACAATGGTTGTAAGTTGACAGATGTGTCATGACGTATATAAGGTATATTGAGACTTAAAATGTCAGCTTAGGCAAGGATACTTTATCCTTAGATGCATTTCTGTGACAATAGAAAATTTTAGTTGCAGGTACCAACATTTCGTAATCATAGTTAAATAGATTGAAGTTTATCTTTAATACCTAACAAAGTGTTAAGTGGGCCTGGAGACTGTATCATATGTTGGTCCATTTTTACTTTGCCTAGCAGAGAAGAGGTTGGGTCAGGGTGTGACAGGCTGGAATTTGGGGGCAGACATGGGGATTGGTAAATCTCAAATAATAATATTGGTCAATTCATATATGAATTGTGATTACAGGAGATAAAGTCAACAACTGCATGAACAGAAATGTAATTAATTTTGAACTGGCCCCCCCTTAATGTAGACAGATAAGATAAATTAGACATGTAGTAGTCAACAGTGGCATTCTGTGTAGAGGTGATGGAAGTATATTGTAGTGGAAGCTATGCCAGGATTATTATTTTCAAGCAAAGCAAAATTACAATAATATTCAAAGATTGGTTAAGATTATGGAGGGTTCAAATTCATCATGACCAGTAAAAAAAAAACATCCAGACCCTTGAAAAAGTTGGTAGTTACATAATTTTACAGGGCAAACGTGATAAACCAGTGGACTAGTTACCCTGCAAATTTGCACCATATTTCCCTATGAAACAAAACATTGATTTGAAGTATTAGCTTAGTGAGGATATCTGTAAAATCCATGTCTCTATTAGCAAGTTTTCATCCATAAAACGATGTTCTAAATAGTAATCAATGGGGTCAAGTGTTCTGGTGAAGCTAGGACAAAAGGCCTTAAGTCAGCCTAATCTTCATGTTCGTTATATCAGACAATGGAAGGAACTAACATGGGACTGGTAGGCAGACCCTCAAATGGATATTGGAATCCAATAAATGGGAGCTCCACTGGGCTAGGTTATTGTTATCTGTGGGGCGTGACTTGAAAATAGCAAGGCTGGGGTGCACTTATTCACACCAAGTTAATTACCACGTTTGCCTGGGTATTATTTCTTAGGATTAACAGGATATTTAATGGAGATTTTTATTTAATTATAATTGCAGAATAAACTAATGTAAAATTTGAATTTATTTTCTGTACTCTGTATTCCACCAAGCATTGCTGTTTTATTTATCTCTCTTTACATGGCGTGTGAAGGGTTTGAAGATTTTCTTCTTTTGTGGAGATTTGATGTGAGGCTTTTCACGCCACTAAAAATCTATTAATTTGTATTAAATCAACAAGATAAGGCAGCTCTAAGAATTCTGTAATTCAATTTTTTAGGATGGAGAACCATCAGACTATCACATATGGGTGGTTTCAGGCAAAGAAGACTCCCCCTATCCATTGATAGGTAAGTTGGTCTGTAGTTCTGCCATATAATTGATGTCCTTCATAGTGACATTGGAGATCAGGTCACTGACCTAATCATGGTCTTGGTTGTAAAAGCATAATCTGTGTCCCTTCCACATGTGTAATTACATTTCATGTTTTTGTTAAGTTTTTCTATTTGTTGAATTTTTCCTTAAATAATGACATATGTATGTTGTTAGCTTTTTGGGTGTCATCTTGCCATGATTTGGGGAGCAGTAGGCAAATGACTTGGTCTTGAATGTCTGGCAGGACAGCCACCGATGGCATAAATCAGAAGTAAAAACCGAATTTTCGTGACATTAATGAATTCTTAACAGACTCATTAGGTCGTCTTTTGTACAGAATTTCAGAGGAAACAAACACTTGAGACTGCTTTTAGAGCAGTTTACGTCTGTTAAGGTTACATGACATCTTGTTATTTACTGTAAGCTTGTTGAACACATCAGGAGTCCATGCTTTTTCTTGACACAGGATAGTCTGATTGATGTTATTTATTGCCAGTATTTGTGCACTGTTTGAAGGATTTTTTTGTTTGTATTTCTTTCTGATGGGAGATTTGACATCCAACCTCAAGATCAGTGTTTTTTATGCCCTAAGTTTGAGAAAAAACCAATGCATGAAAGTAACTAATACAATGGCTGTCTGCCAGATAAGATTTAGAAGGCAAACTTTAAGAAAGCTTTATTGTACCACCAGCGTTAGCGCTGGCGGTACNCATTCTTTCCTGCAGGGCATGAACAGCCATATTCTATCCAGATGAGCCATTTAAGGGATGCAGCTGGAATCAGTGGCTCAGAACCCTTACCAGCAAACTTTGAAGCAGACTCGGAGAACCTGCCACCTTCAGCTCGCTGTAATTTTGTTTTGAGACATTCAAAGAAAAAGCCAAAGAGCTCCAGTTTTGGTAATTAGACTGAATTTTTTCTTTAAAGATAATGTTCAATTTATTAATAATAATATATTCACTGAAATTGCAAGGTTGAAGTTGCACAGTGTAAAAGATAACATTTATTCTTAAATGATAATTATAATTAAAGACAGATAAGAGTTGAAATGATAAAATTGGATCACATTTGCACTGAAATTCATTTTTTGCTGTTTTAATGTATGGAAGACTAAGGTATGTATTCATTTCTCAGCTACTCACCTGTGATGAAATCTGTATTGTATTTGCAGAGGAAAGCAGTAGAACACTGAAATTGAAGAAATCTATGAAGCGTTCTCCAATTATAACTTTCTTCAAGAAGGCCACAAAACAGCAAGACCAAGCATCACAGAACAACAATGTATCTCCCAGTTTGGGCACACTGTTTGGCCTGCAGTTGTGCTCACTGTGTGGAGAAGAAGAAATCTTGCCAAAACCTGTTATGGTAAGAGTTGCAATTCTCTTTTTCTATGTAGGAAATATATCCTTCCTCCCCCCCCCCCCCCCAAAAAAAAAAAATAAATAAATAAATAAAATAAAACTGGGAATATTATAAATATAAAGGAATATAAATAAAAAGTAATGAGCTTTTTTGTTTTCTTTGTGTTGATAAAGATATATGGATTTGTAAACTTTATCACACCAAATTGAGACATAAAAAATGCAAAATGAATCATTTGATATATGGAAGAATTCTGAATGAATAAAATCTTGTTACCCTCAGGACATGTTGCAGAACCTGTTCCAGTTTGGTCCATACATTACTGGAATATTTCGCAAGTCTGCAAATGCAAGAGCAGTGAAGGAATTGAAGAATAAATTTGACTCAGGACTGGAGGTGTCACTGGATGATACCACAGTGCTTGTTGTTGGTGCTACTTTTAAAGTAAGTTGTGGCAATAAGGTCATCATATTTTACGTCAAGTGTCTACCCCCATGAGCTATTGTCTGTCATTTTATTTTAAAATGATTTTAATTAACCTTGACACACAATTTGCTTCTAATATTTTAAGTGTACTGCTTTTATTTCTTTAAATGTGATTGTTTGTATTAGCTGTTAACATGTCCATTGTATTTACTATAGGAATTCTTACGAAGCCTGCCTGACTGTCTATTACAATGTGATATGTTTGATGACTGGACACAGACAAATGGGATTCAAGAAAAAGAAGAAAGGACAGAAAAAGTAAAAAAGTAAGTTTTTAATTTGTAAAATAATTTTTGACAATTATATCAGTACACCATATTAATACACCTGTCTGAACCAATTTTCAATTTTTAAGCAGTTTTTATAGAATGGCCAAGATTAATGGTGATTATGGAATTTTTTTTTTCTTTTTAGACTTTTAGAAACATTGCCAAAGTGCAACTTGCATCTTCTTCGACACTTCATGTGCATATTATACCACATAGACAAGAAATCCGAAGAAAATAGTATGAATGCCTACAACTTAGCGGTTTGTGTTGGGCCTAGTTTACTGTGGCCACACTTAACTGCAGGAACCACAGTCCATGCTCAAGCTTCCAAATCGGTGCCAATTTTTATCCAGTTTTTGATTGAAAACTGTCAGGAAGTTTTTGGTAAAGACATTGTTACACTGTTGGGTGAACCTGTAGAGCAAAAAGTACGACAGGACTCCAGCACTGACTCTGACAGCATGCACAGTTTGCTGAGTATAGCAGAAAGTGGAGGAGGTGAGTATATTGGTCTTTAGCACCACAATTTTGGAAGGAAATTACATACATTACATTGCATCATAAGAACAATTTAATTTCACCAAGCAATTTTTTTAAACATGTTAAAATAAACTTTTGAGGATATATTATTTGAAATTGATGTGTCACAAGCTTTCTGGGAACATTTATGAATATGTAGGTACATCCGTTAATTTGTTACCAGTTTGTTTAATTACCAGTGCTTCATTGTGTTTATCTCTTAATTGCAGGCATGATGAGAAGAGATGACTCTTCTTCTTTTGATAGCCTGGAGAGAGACCTTTACAATAGTGAAATTGAGTCCAGTCCACGACTACCTAAGAACCAGTTTTCACCGACAAATCTCAGTCGAGATTCTGGATTAACATTGAGTGATACTCAGTTATATGATGATGAGAATGACAATGAAAATGCTGAACCTCGTTCTAGTTACACACGAAGTCATTCGCATGGCATGGATTATGATCATTCACGAGAGCAACAACATAGTCATTTTGTCCACAGTTTTGACAGTGGCATAGACTCTGAGCAACCTGTGCCTCCTCCTCGGAAAAAATACAGTAGACGGACATCTGAACCTCCTCTTGGAAATATGGATAAATATACGCTGCGCCATCCTAGTTACAGGCAGGCTATATCAGGAGGTGCTCAGGCTAGCTCTGGTTATGCTCCTCATGTGGATTCTAAATCTAACATTTCTTATCTGTATGGTACTGATGGTACAGGACATAAAAGCATGAAGCATCACATGCCTTTATCTAAACGAGTATCAGCAGATTCTTTAGAGAGTGTGGAAGAGTGTGGTGAGGAAAGAGACAGCATTGCTGAAATTCAAAGGAACTTTGCTCTGCAAGAACAGTCAGAAAAAAATGTGATTAAAAAATCAGCAAGTGGCATGCACTTGTATTTAGATGAAGAACTTTTCCCTGGGGCAGTTGGTGGGAATCACAACACCAGATTAGACCAACGTCGTATGAGGCGGCAGTCGTCCAGAGACACTTCATCCCCTCCTCCCTCTCCTATCACATCCGAGAGTTCACAAGACAGTATCATGATGACAAACTCACCTTCTCTTTTACATGCCAAGCAGTACAACAAAGGCCAGGCGCCTGCACCACCAAAAATAACAGGCAGTAAAAGTATTGACTTAGGGCAAGTTTCAGAACCCCTTGTGCAGACAAATGCAGATTTCAGTAAGAGCATTTCTGGAAGGTTGGGCCTGTTTACACCATGTTCTCTTTCTGACTTTGAAGAATCCCCCATTTTGACACGAAAAGCTGGGACTTCTTCTGCACCCTCGTCAAATAGGTCCTCACCCGAAGATCTACTTTCTGTGGAGTTTCCACGTGTGCAATCCCCACGTGCCTCTATCATAAGCACATTATCTAAGACCTCTGCAGAGTCAGCACATTCATCTTCAGCTGGTAGTACCACTACACTGACCCAAGATCAATTTGATGCCGAGGTGCCACCTCCAAGGCCTCCCAAACCTGGGCATCTTACCAACACAGATTCCTCTGGCACACCTACCAAATGCTTGAATAAAATTGATCCAAATTTAGGGTCGCCACCTCCAAAAGTGTTGCTGCGGCATAATGAGATACGTGTGCAAATGAAACTTGCCAGCAAGGATTTTTTTCCAGCCGAGGCTATCAATAATAATCGCCAGCAAAGAATAAGTGCACCACCAGATTATGTGGAACTTATGAAGCGACGCAGTTTAGAACAATCTGAAAGTGACTCGAATTTGCCTAGTTATATGGGAGACCCTGCAGCACAGAGGAGGTATTCTTTAGGTGAAGGAGATATGATGCGCCCTGAACAGCCACCATCTTACCAAGAGGCACTTCGTCGAAAGTCACTGATGCAGCATGGGATGCAGGTCCCAGTGCCCCAAGTGTCAGAGGATGAATTGCTACGACAGCGAGTTCTTAGTGCACATGCACGCAAGTTGTATGAAGAATCACTGCGTAAATTAGAAGAACAACAGTTGGTACCTTCATCACAACCTTCACAGCAGCAACAGCATAGTCCAATGGTTTTAACAGAAACAGTGTCAACAAGACCAGATTCTGAGCCCATTTATATGAACAGTAGAATGACAAATGATTCTGACAGGTCCAAAACTGCTAAAAACAGTCCACGAGTCTCACGCTCTAAGTCACAAAATGCAGGAGACCGAGATGGAGTTAAACTTGTGCGCAGACAAGGTGGCAGTAGTCACAGTTTTACTTCACTCCATCGAAGCAACAGTGATACCTCGGAGCATTTACTACGTATAAACAAAGACAGCAGTAAACTCAAACACCTCACCCCAGTTCACGTGTCATGTGAACCAAAGAGGAGGGAGAGTTTTGAAAGGGAACGTAAAAGGAGAGAGAATGTGGAGCGAGAGAGAGAAAGAACCAGAAGGAGGGAGAGCCTGGAAAAAGAAAGGAGAAGAGGTCAACAATCACGCCACAAAAGTCCCCAAAATGCTGTTTCGAAGAATAGACGTAGTTTGCCCAGAGTTCCTTCACCAGATAAAAGATCCCAGACACCAAGTGAAGATTCTAGAAAACATGAAGAGAGGGCAAGTTTGAGGGCACTTGAAAAGCCTGAAACAAGAACAAATTCTTCCACCAAAAAATCACTGCTTTCTCACCAAGGCCCTCTATTTTACCAACCTGAACAACAAAAACAATCCAAAGCTGGGCAAAAAATGTCTTCCGACTCTGCCATTGATAACAGGGTGGCAGCAACCCCTCAAAAAGATCATCTTTGTGCAAAACAGAAAAATGACTTGGGTTGGAGTGTGTCACAACTTAGAAATTTATATGACAGCAGCAAGGGAGAAAAACAGCAAGAGAGTTCACCTCCTCATTTTTATCGTCCCAATAGTCAGCCTCCTGTCACCATCTCAAGTCAAGTAAGAGAGGAGCGCCCCCTGGAGCCACCACCTTACCGTCCTCCACCACCTATCAGTCAGTCTGCTCAGAGAGATACATTAAATCGTGATATTAAAAAACAGTCCGAGTTTTCTGACGGAACATCATCGCATAAAGACAAAGACCACCTGCGTGGTAAGAGTGTCCGGGAACACATTCAGGCATTTGATGGATGTAATGGAGTCAGGGTGTCTACCAAAAGTGAGGATGTTAGACTCAGTAGTGATGACTCTTGCAAAGATGGGGAAGAGTCTTATGTTTAACTAACACAGCAAGCTTTGTATTTTTATTGGTCCAGTTGCAATGTGTCAATCGGTGGCAATTTTACTGTGAACTGATCAGGTGCTTCATTAGTATTTTTCAAGTTGGGAGGAACAGATACTCTTCTAAAGACATTCATTCATTCATTCATTCGTGCTTGCTAAAACTTGTTATCACTTAGTCTGGTATATTCTGTGATAATGTATGTGGAAGTGTTGATGTAAGCATGTTCTGGCAGACTGATATTATTTTTGAAGACTTTAGCATGTTATGTGTTTGTGAAGCAAAAGACGTAACCTAACTGTACAGAATACTCAGTGAGTTGAAACTTAAAATTTGTGTGGACAAAACTCCAAAGATCTGAACCTGTGTAAGGGTCATTTGATATGAAAATCTAAGTTTTTACATTTTTGTTCCGGGGAAAAAATGCAGTCTTTCGTTAGCGTTCAATTAGTCACCCAACTTGGGACAAGAGCTCTACATATGTTAGAGCTGCTTAAACATTTTGTTTAATTTCTTTTGATGTTATCAGCATTATCATCTGTTGAATTTCCTTTGTTTCTTGTTTTACAAGTTGGGTTTGGCAGCAATTTGACCAAAAATACTGCATGACACGTTGATTATCAAATCCTACATGATAAATTGCAAGGAGGAATTTTTCTTTTAGTACCAAGTCTGGTTTTTAAGAATGCATTTTTTTATAACAGACAGAAAAATAACTAAGAATTTTATATATGCACATATATATATATATAAGTGTGAGTGACATTTAGTAAATCAGCCAATCATCTTGCCCATCGTTTCTGTATAGTAACTAATCCTTCATCCTATCATGTAGTGGTTGATGAAACATTAATGAGCTGATTTTGCAGCTTTGTACATTTTGTTAACTTCACTTAACTGTAGCACTGTATCATAGAGACACTATTACAGCATTTTGTACTTGGGGTCACATGTACATTTGGTTTAAATCCCTATTATTTCATCAGTTAAGTTGTTGCATTCAAACAGACAGCAGGGTTCTGATCTGCTGGTACAGGCAATAAAACTTATTATTGAATACAGACATTTCTTGATTTTTTCTAAAGCTTAGCCCAGCATTGGAAGAAAACCTGAGTTTTCCCAATGAACAATATTGTCATGGTTTTTCAGTGTCCATTAAAGGGTGAAATTCTTAGTAATATAAAATGTCACAATGAGACATTGTGCTGGGACATGAGTCTTATCACAGCAAAGACATTCATTGATTTAAAATTCTATCCTATATTTATCCATATCCTTTTACAATTAAAGCAGAATGATCCAGATATGTACATAATCACAGTAACAAGTCAAAAGGAAGCTAGTAAAATGCCCATTTTATTATAAAACCACACAATGTACACTTATTGAAAACATTTGTGATCACAAAAGATCAATATGTGATGAGGAGTGAACAAATGCAACTCCTGTATTGCTCTAAATATGTGTATAAAATGTATAACACAATATCACAAATAATACCAAATAGTTACTCTTTCATACTGAAGTATCATTAAAATGAAGAAACTAGGTAGAACCATAAACCTTTAGCTTTTTATTTCATAATTCTATACTCGGACAAAGCTCTTTCAACAATGATATCCATGTGCCTCGCATTTAAGAACTCCACTTCCACATGGGTTGTTTTTCCCTTTCAATTTGATTTCACATAAATGATTCTTTTTCTACATTAAGTGCATTGCATCAATATGAATTTTTTCATAATCCAAACACTTGGTTTATAACATTCTGATGTAACTAAAAATAACTACTATAACAAAGAGTGTAATACACACACATCCAAATACCCTCAATGGAAGAGATCTTTTGAAAGGCATTGGTCAAACGCAGATGTCTCCTGGAAGGCTAAATTGTTCTTTATTTAAGGTTTTCATGTTGAAGGTCAATGTGACCAAGCTACATATACGCAAAATGTATATGATCACTAAAAATAAAGAATGCTTTTTTTTGACAAGGTTTTCATGTTGAAGGTCAATGTGACCAAGCTACATATACGCAAAATGTATATGATCACTAAAAATAAAGAATGCTTTTCTCAAATTACTGATTGTCAATAATTTTTTTCATGTGATATATGGAGTTCCTTGTCACTGAAATGACATGGAAAGTGCAAGCTTCATTTAAAAAGCAATGCACATGAAGACTAGGGCATAAAGTATATCAACATAGCAGTTTTCTGCTACAATAATAAAAGACATAAAAAAGGAAGCATTAAACACTTTCTTTGACAATTATCATCACAAAACACTGCTGAAAGAAATATTAAAGGGATAACTCTTCGTATGAGATCTATATTCCACAATAAATACATTGTAAGCAACTCAAAGAAATTTAATATATTCTATTTTACCACTAAAATGTCAGTTACTACTGCCAGTTAGAGCAATTATTTTTAAATCTGTGCTAGATGGCTATACTCTGTAATAATATCTTAATATAATAAGAGATTATTACAAAAAAAAAATTATTAGAAAAAAAAAAAAAAAAAACAGGGACCGACTTTGAATGTAGGAATGGATTCATTAACCACTGGTAAGAATGGGAAAATTGTCATTTACCCCAGGAAAATTCATTTTTTTGCCACAGTTGTTATCCTTTTAAAAGCTAAAAAGGTTTATCAGTACAACAATCTGATGGATGCCAAGAGGATTGGCAGCTAATTGACCACCTCATCTTAATGGGAATAGCCTCAAACAAAGTCTTTGGCACTGCATGACGTCACATCATTTCAAAAGCACCATTTCCTTTGTCCCAAAAGTTGGCAGACTTGTTTTATCTTTCATTTCCTATTTAGAAAACTTGAGAATCCCCACAAAGTGGGTTCAACTTTTTAGAAATAACGATGATACTACAGGGAATCTCTTCTTAAAAAGAAATACAAAAATGACACCCAACGTGGTGAAATCATATCTTTGTGCAATACATTGTTATTCAGTATTTAAGAAAAAACAACCAGAAAAACTGAGCAAAAATGTTCAAAAATGTTCACAACTACTCACGTCAGTCTGATGAAGGCCTTCGACCAGGTTGGCCGTAAGCTAACGGTACGGAAAATTTTAGGCTTGTGTCTGAGAATTTTTGTGTTTAACCAGAAAAACTGTTGAAAAATTCTGTGAGCTTTTGTTTCTGCACCACCCTGGCTAGTCTGCCATTATTACTGACCCCAATTTCTTCCAAATACTTTGGATTTTGTCCTCAATTTATTCTACTTTGTGAGACTTTTGGCCTATCTCAGCCAATTCCCATTGTGGTCTGAGGGAGACCCATTCAGCATAATGGCAGCACAGAATTCCAATACTTGTTCAGAGAAATTCTCATTGTATAAGCATGAAGAGTAATATCTTTCTGATGACACTCTTAATGCTTTTTACATTGATTTTCTCTTAAGAAGAGTATAATACAGACAAATCAATACAAAGTTAGACAATATTGTCTACAGCATACCATATGGTTGGTGCATGTGTCCATACTACAATTCAATTCATTAACTGAATTTAACAAGACAACTTCAGCTTAACCAAACAGGAAGCCTTTGGTGCTAGCAATTACATAATGAAAACATCTAAGTAGTACCAACTTGAATGTGCAAACACATTTTGAAGCTTCTGAAACTATCTATTACATTTACATTTTTTTTTTATTTCAGAAAACTGGACTACAAGTTCTGTGCTACAGAGAAATACATTATACATGAAACAGATATATTTTTCAACAATAAAATCTATTCACTTTCCTGAATATCGAAAATTATTATCTTAAATGTCAGTCGCACACATCTATCTCAACAAGGAACTTATATCTTTCAATCGCATTTATAAACGAGAACCAAGACTAGCAGCACTACGTAAAAGAAATGAAAACAGTTACACAAAATGGACTTTAAAATTTCTCTATATTAAAAATGTAAGGCATAACAAGGAGGGTGTAAAACAAAGGTCCTTTCATATTTCATTGGCCATAAATCTGGTGTCAGGGATGAATAAAAAAAGAAATGAACTAATTATAACTTGGAAGATGTTTTGAAATCATAAGTTAATTCTAACCTAAATATAAAAAACAACATAAAGCCGATAATCCAAAAATATCAAATTTGCTTTTTATCTATTTGTGCATTAATATCAGTGATTATTGCCATACATCTACATCATAATCAGACATCACAAAAGACCCGTCTGTGGCATTACCACTGGCCAAATATCAGAAAAATTTAAGCCAGGCCTGTAATAAAATCATGTAAACCTGTTCAGTTACGTGTCACTTTTTCTGCTTTGAGTCAGTAGATTCTTAGATCCTGGGGTTCAAAATACCAGTGGACTTTAAAATAATTACACAGACTAAATTGTTTTTCAAAATAATTAGAAAATTCTAACTGAATATACTTCTGGAAGATGAACAGTTTAGAATGTTCAAAATAAGGCCCTCAAAATATATACCACCAGCATTCTCAAAAATATTTATAAAAATTGAAGGGTAACAATTCTCCTTTCCAGTGAAAACTCTTCAAGCTACAGTTATATGGAAAACAATTTATTCTGATACATCAACTTGAGATTCATTTTGTATCCCTATATTCTTTCAATATAATACTTTCAATTTAAAGGCTGCATAAAAGAAAAAGACCAATCATTGTGTTTTCTTTTCTGACTCTTCCAACTCTTCAATTTCATCATCTTCCATTTCTAATTCAGCTTTTAGTTTGGCAATTTCTTTGGCATCCTTTTCTTCTCTATTTCTAACCTGTGGGTAAAAAAATTCTTCTTATTCTTTAACTTAAGGTCACAAACAAAGTGTCATTTCAAGAGTAAACATTATGCAATATTTCAATTCTAAAACTTGTCTGTTGCTAACATCTGGGAAAAATTAAAATAAGATAATGTACATTTAATGTTAAAAACCAACCTGATAGTAAATAAATAGTCTGCATCCTAATAGCAGTCCAAACACAATAGATGGTGTGGCACGATCCATTTTCTCTCCTTTGGCCAAAGTGGTGTAGACAGAAACAAGCATAAGCAGTAGCAGCACAACATTAGAGATTTGTTTCACTGGACCTAAATGGAAATGTTAAAACCAAAACAAAATGATGATCATAAACATATTATACAAACAATTTTTGTTTTAAACTTGATGTATTTCGATGTGAAATACACTGTAACACAAGATATTATATTCAAAATCTACTTCTATGCTTACAATGAAATGAAAATTTGAAAAATATCTTTTTTCATTTCCTCTGAAGCATGGTTTACCTGGCAATATAGCTAGCATAATTCCACATACAACCTCTAGACCTCCCACTACTTTGCGATACATGTGAGCATTGGGTTTCCAACCAGTCAAGGTGGAAAGTGGAAAGACTTTGGCATCTCTGATAAACATCTTCCTCTGAAAATAAAAGAAACACTTCAACTAACCTTTTAAGTTGAAGAACTGAGATCAGGCTACATATACTGATTTTTTCCTTGTAGAAAAAGTGAAAATGTGAAGAAAAATATGCAAAGAATGCATTCATACGTTTTGTTTTCAAATTAATGACTGATTACTTAGTTAATGTACATGTGAATCAAGTTCAGGTTTATGTGTTACTTTTATCAGTTCTAGTGCTTTCACATATTTAAAACTTTAANAAAGAAAAAAAATGCAAAGAATGCATTCATACGTTTTGTTTTCAAATTAATGACTTAGTTAATGTACATGTGAATCAAGTTCAGGTTTATGTGTTACTTTTATCAGTTCTAGTGCTTTCACATATTTAAAACTTTAATTTATACAACTTCACTTCATTGGTATGATTTAGTTGAGAGAACATTCCATATTATTTTACCATTCATAATGTCTTTTCCACTCATCTTTCACATTCCACAAAAAAGGAAAATAATATATTTTTATCTTTTATTTTTTGTCCCCATTACCCCATTACACATAAGTTAAGAGGTCAAAATTAGAGCACAAACCTTTTTTTTACTTGACCTACTTCAAATGCACATTTCTTTTACTAATGAAGTGAGAGATTTTAATTTTTATGGCATTATTTAGGGCTGAAAATCAAGTGGGCGATTTTTGACTCATTTTATAAGTGGATACTGAAAAAAATGACAGATATGGTGTCACTAAAGCTTGAAATAATTCTGATTTAAGTGAGATATCTCAAAAATTTTAGTGGTTTATTCATACTCAGATAAGTAGTTTTCTGTGTATCAAGTCTCTTGCTTAATTAGAGAAAATCGTGTGTGGAGCCTTCAACTCATGAAATTATTGTCCTAGTAAAATGGAAAGAAATTGCAAAATGAGGATAACAGACGTCCCAGAGGAAAACATGTATCACGCAAACCTATTTAGAATTCTGACAAGTTCCAACTTCATTGAAATAAATTAATAACAGGTGAACCAGACAATATATGATGATAAAGTTAACCTCGCCGACTGGCAATCTCTCAAGACAATAAGGAGTCATTGCATGAGCTACTTTGGGGGCATTATAGTTATTTTGGTAGCTTTTCGTGTACTTAAAATATACTTACGAGTTCTCTGTGTACTTCTTCGTTCACTGCTGGGGTAAGCTTCATAGTTCCCATTAAAATAAAGAAAAACCCGATGGTCATTGACAGCATTGTCAAAGCCGACGACGCCATCTTGGATAATGTGATTAACTGCAGACAAGATTTAAGTTATTGTATCTATAAAGGAGTCAAATTTGATTTTATGTAATTTTGAAAGTACAACAAATTTTTTTTAATTATTGAAAGATCTTTTTGCACTTACATATTATTCATAAACATTCAATAATATTTTATTTACAAATTTGGTCCGTATTATTTCAATGCAACCTTGACCTAACCACTGACCTGACGTGACCTAGAAAATTTATCCAGCGCTGTCAGTGAAAAGTTCATTATTTTAAGATTAAAGATAGGTCCAGTTTTGTGCACATAGTACGTCTAGGCAGAGAAAAAATGAGGTATTTTAAGAACAAAATGCCGGACTATGTCAGTGGAAGTGATGTTGAAGTAAGTCGCCAGAAGTGGTTACCGATAATCCACTCCATGGTTGAACAAATAAACCGACACACACCAGAAGATGATTTCCAATCAGCCGAAGGAGGGCTTTACGTTGGAAGTGCTGGTGTGGCATACATGCTGTACTATCTCACAGAGTCGGGGTTGTTCGTGGGTCACAGACGTGAGTTCTTCGAGAAAGCAACAGCTTGTATTGCAGTTTCAATTGGATATTCACATAGGCACCGTTCGCGAGATCCACCAGTCTCATTTATCTTGGGATCAGCTGGAGTCTATGTTGTGGGCGCTCTGTTACACAAGGCAATGGGAGACCAGCAAAAAGCCGGCGATTTTGTTGGGAAATATGCAGACCTTGCACTTCACTGTGTACCATTGAATTTTCTTTCCTGTGGATCAGATGAGCTGTTTGTTGGAAGAGCTGGATATTTGTGCGGGGCTTTGACCTTGCACAGCAAATTTGGCCCGGTAAAACCATAACAGAGTTATTAACTCCAACAAGGTTTTATTTTCGTTATTTCATCATAAAATTTAAGTCATACCCCATTATTTAAGCCATTTCCATGAACAAGTCTATTGCTAAGAAAGAACCAAAGACATGGAGGATGATATTTTTCTAAAAACGTACACTCTTTCCTTGTTGCACCATTGACTCAATTCTAGTACATGCATTTGATGTATAATTCAACATAAATTTCTTCACCTAGGTTGCTACAAGAGGTTAAAGCTTTATATCTTTAAATACATGGTGATTGGGAGCATTCATCCCTTGGGTATTCTTATCCCCACAAATAAACTTTTTTATTTAATGTTGCAGGTACATGTAATTCCTAAAGAGGCATTGCATGCAGTATGGAAGTCCATTATACAATCTGGCAGAGAATATGCTAAGAAACGAAAATTAAAATGTCCTCTTATGTATGCTTACTACGAAACTGAATACCTAGGTAATATATTCTTGGGTAATTGATTTTACATTTATTTTGAGTAATCAAAAACTTTGGTAAAGCTTTTTTTTTTTTTTTTTGCNTTTTAGATGATATAAGTATTATAATTTTCTGATCAGTTTGAAAATTTTTCTGATATACCTATCCTAGTAAAATGGAAAGAAATTGCAAAATGAGGATAACAGGCGTCCCAGAGGAAAACATGCATCACGCAAACCTATTTAGAATTCTGACAAGTTTTAACTTCATTGAATTAATTAATAACAGGTGAACCAGACAACATATGATGATAAAGTTAACCTCGCCGACTAGCAATCTCTCAAGACAATAAGGAGTCATTGCGTGAGCTACTTTGGGGGCATTATAGGTATTTTGGTAGCTTTTCGTGTACTTAAAATATACTTACGAGTTCTCTGTGTACTTCTTCGTTCACTGCGGGAGTAAGCTTCATAGTTCCCATTAAAATAAAGAAAAACCCAATGGTCATTGACAGCATTGTCAAAGCCGACGACGCCATCTTGGATAATGTGATTAACTGCAGACAAGATTTAAGTTATTGTATCTATAAAGGAGTCAAATTTGATTTTATTTAATTTTGAAAGTACAACTAAAATTTTTTTAATTATTGAAAGATCTTTTTGCACTTACATATTATTCATAAACATTCAATAATGTTTTATTTACAAAATTGGTCCGTATTATTTCAATGCAACCTTGACCTAACCACTGACCTGACGTGACCTAGAAAATTTATCCAGCGCTGTCAGTGAAAAGTTCATTTAAGATTAAAGATAGGTCCAGTTTTGTGCACATAGTACGTCTAGGCAGAGAAAAAATGAGGTATTTTCAGAACAAAATGCCGGACTATGTCAGTGGACGCGATGTTGATGTAAGTCGCCAGAAGTGGTTACCGATAATCCACTCCATGGTTGAACAAATAAACCGACACACACCAGAAGATGATTTCCAATCAGCCGAAGGAGGGCTTTACGTTGGAAGTGCTGGTGTGGCATACATGCTGTACTATCTCACAGAGTCGGGGTTGTTCGTGGGTCACAGACGTGAGTTCTTCGAGAAAGCAACAGCTTGTATTGCAGTTTCAATTGGATATTCACATAGGCACCGTTCGCGAGATCCACCAGTCTCATTTATCTTGGGATCAGCTGGAGTCTATGTTGTGGGCGCTCTGTTACACAAGGCAATGGGAGACCAGCAAAAAGCCGGCGATTTTGTTGGGAAATATGCAGACCTTGCACTTCACTGTGTACCATTGAATTTTCTTTCCTGTGGATCAGATGAGCTGTTTGTTGGAAGAGCTGGATATTTGTGCGGGGCTTTGACCTTGCACAGCAAATTTGGCCCGGTAAAACCATAACAGAGTTATTAACTCCAACAAGGTTTTATTTTCGTTATTTCATCATAAAATTTAAGTCATACCCCATTATTTAAGCCATTTCCACGAACAAGTCTATTGCTAAGAAAGAACCAAAGACATGGAGGATGATATTTTTCTAAAAACGTACACTCTTTCCTTGTTGCACCATTGACTCAATTCTAGTACATGCATTTGATGTATAATTCAACATAAATTTCTTCACCTAGGTTGCTACAAGAGGTTAAAACTTATATCTTTATATACATGGTGATTGGGAGCATTCATCCCCTGGGTATTCTTATCCCCACAAATAAACTTTTTTATTTATTGTTGCAGGTAATTCCTAAAGAGGCATTGCATGCAGTATGGAAGTCCATTATACAATCTGGCAGAGAATATGCTAAGAAACGAAAATTAAAATGTCCTCTTATGTATGCTTACTACGAAACTGAATACCTAGGTAATATATTCTTGGGTAATTGATTTTACATTTATTTTGAGTAATCAAAAACTTTGGTAAAGCTTTTTTTTTTTTTTTTTGCTTATTTTTTCTATAATTAGCATAGGAAATGTACTATACCGTTTCAGGTTCTTCCATGTTTAATCAAAATAGCTAACAAACACACTTAGGTGTACAGTATGCATACATGTAGATAAAAATGCTTTAAAACACTATGGTATTGATATTCTATTTAATTTTTCTTCCATCAGGGGCAGCTCATGGACTGTGCTCTATCCTGCAGATGCTGCTTAGTTTCCCAGAATTTGTTAAATCAGACGAAGCTGCTGCACAAGACATCAAGAACTCTGTGGATTTCCTGTTAAGTATAAAGCAACCTAATGGAAACTATGCTACAGCCATGGATGAGGTAAATGGCAGTTACCAACGTCCAGAGTCTGAGGAGCTTGTTCACTGGTGTCATGGAGCTCCAGGTAATCCAAGTAAAAAAAAAATTAAAACGTTTGTTTAGAGAGTTACAGAATTATTGTTTCTTCAACTTAAATTTATTCACATGGTTATTGTGAACAAAACCAGTTTATATTGGCAAGTTTGCAAATTTATTTTTTCAACTGTAGTCAAAAAATGTGTGTATTATATGGGTACTTGAAGAATTTGTTAAAAATCCAAACTACTCAGCAGTTGCTAATCAGGGTGTTTTAATGTGTTCAGTTTCATTTTAAAATATTATGTGCTAAAAGATATGCCATTTTTGTAATTAGTCAAAACTGGGTAGAAAAACACTCAAGTTGGTGCTCAGAGTAGGGATTTTTTTATTTTTGAAGTCCATGAAAATTTTTTCTGGGTTAAAATTGTTGAGAAAAAGAATAATTTAAAATGAGAAAACATTTGGTCATATTTATTACATGCCTGAGTACATTTTTTTAACCATTTTGATATTTTCAGGGGTAGTGTATCTTATGGCAAAAGCATACCTCACATGGCGTGAAGACAAGTATTTTCAGGCATGCATTGATTGTGGAGAGTTGACCTGGCAGAAAGGACTCCTTCGCAAAGGACCTGGCATTTGTCATGGTGTTGCTGGCAGTGGTTATGTATTTCTTCTTCTCTATAGACTAACAGAGGACCTCAAGTATATCTATAGGGCAGAAAAGTTTGCTGAGTTTCTTATTAGCGAGGAGTTTACACAGAAGGCTAACACCCCTGACACACCATATAGTTTGTATGAAGGGCTTGCAGGCACAGTCTGTTTCTTGACAGATCTCCTGCTGCCCCAACATGCAGAATTTCCTTTCTTTGATGTATTTTCAAATTACGAATAGTGTGCTTTTGAAGTAATTAAAAGTTTCAACTGTACTTCAATATAGCATCTTGTGTTTGTAAGCTGTGTTTCAACATAGAAATTGACTATGTTTGGTACCTCTGGGAATTATGTTTAGTCCTGCAGTTGTTTAGGTGTATCTCAGTAGCAGACTATATAACGCTTGGTATGTTGATACAACTCCTGTTAAATCTTTGCTTTTCCATATTTCATGTTCATGTATCTACTTAAGTTCAAGAAGCAATACAAACAAATATTAATTACTTTTAAATAAATTCAAACTGTCAAATACTTTTGTTTAATGCAAAGGCTGTATGCTATTTTTATTTCTTACTCTACTTTTCACTTTTTATTGTTCAAAATATTAATTTTATTTTTATACTCTATAAATGTGAGAGCAAATGACTGTCAAGACTCCTCTTTCTTTAAAAGTGATTGCAGCCAGCTGCCACATGTGGTAGTTGGTTATTTTCACTGATTCTTGCCAAATCCAAGTCTGTGATGATTCTTCTATACTCTGTTAAAACTGCTTTCCCATATAGTTATATTTTAAGGCAGCAATAGATTTTACTTATAAACATTATGTTTTAAAAAGTTTTTTTTTTTTTTTTGCAATAATATTCAGTATTTAAGTTTGTCAATAGTTCTGAATACCCAATTCACATTCACTGATAAGGAATGTTAATAAAAAGAAAATTTAGCAAGAGTCTTTCTGTGTAATGTGTCATGACTCTTGGTTTTCTCATTATTTGGTCAGTTCGAACTTTATGGAATTCTTTTAAAGGTCCAAAATGGCAGCGATATGATATACAAGAACACTCAAGTGCTAAGCATTTATTATTATTTTTAAATTGAATGCTGTTTTCAGACACCCTGAGCTTCAGAGATAACTTGAAACAAACTTTAACACTATAGTAACCCTTGCTGTTTCAAGTGACCTCTGACTAGATTTGTTTTGACCTGCTTTATTAAACCAATATGTCCCATGAGACTAGAGCAACACGTGTTTGTTTATTAGTGCAGCAATATATATCTCCGTAACCTTTGACTGGTCTGGATTTGAACAAAGAGCACTTTGACTCGTTTGCGTTTACTGGCTAGATTGTTCAGTGAGTCATTGAGGGCGGGCTTTGAAGTTGAGTGGCAGGCAACCAGGCCTAAGGAACCTGGTCAGAGGTAACTTGAAATGGCAAGGGTATCCTAGACATCTTATAGCGTAGAGGTTTGTTTCAAGTTATCTCTGAAGCTCGGGGTGTTTTCAGAAGACATCATGATCAACTTGCATTTATTGTTAAATTACAGAAGTATCTTAGAATCTGTATGAGGTAATGAGAATAAAGTGCTAGATTACACTTATTCAAAATGTTTTGTATTTACATTTTGCCTTGAATTAGATTTATTTGCTTTTATAATTTCATATTTCATATATGTACATGTATGATAAAAAGAATCTCCTAACATAATTTGAAGTTATTAGCTTAACGTAAGGTCTAAACCTCCCATTTTCGAAATAAATTACCATCGCATGATCAGTGTTGGGCACATTTTAAATGTTTGAAAAATTACTAAAAATGGTTTATTCACTATCTGCAATATTTTCTCTCTTAAAGCTGCATATACAGGTACAAAGCTGAACCACCCTGAGCTTCAGTTACCTTGAAACAAACCTCTACACTAAAGCATACTTTGCCGTTTCAAGTAACTTGAGGGGTATGCTTTAGTGTAGAGGTTTGTTTCAAGTTAAACTTGAAGCTCGGGGAGCTGAACACAACTTCTTTGCAATTGCCCGTTGCTATGTTTCCAGTAAACAATGCGACAATAAAGCTATTTCCCGCGTTAGCTCGTTAGCTCAACTACCGCAATTGACAGACTGATTTTTGATAATGATACATTATTTTTAATGAACATGGAATTCAGTGAATAACAAAGTATATTAACTTAATTACACTTTGTAAATATAAGCAAAGAAAGCAAATATAAAACAAAATTCAAAATTTTAACATTTTTAAATTATTGAAATAATTTATGCAGAGCTTATCTTGTTATCACGTGATCGCGCCACTTCTAAATTCATATTCATGAGTCATTCACACTCACAATACGCCGTGAAGTAACGGGGTCAGCTCAGTTTACAAATTTGTTTTCGCGACCCGGCTCCTTTCATATAGTAGAATCAACGTCGTTGAGAAACGTTGGACATATAACAACCAAAAAAGAGGTTGACAGGCACATACGGCACTTCCTAAGATGTTTGGAAAGTCGTCAAAGAAGTCTAAACATTCAAGTAAGTAAAAACTTGAGAGATTGGTTGCCCACGCCTACTGTCCTTGTACTGACAGCCATGTGTGTCTTCTATTCTGGTAGATCGTGTTACGGACTGTGGAATGAATGGTATGGGCCTGTGTGAGTCTGGAAATATCGTCTTCAGGGCGTGTCTCAATAGTTTTTGTTCTAAATTTTGTATAAGCAGTCAAACGATAACCAATCTTTCTGTCTGTAGATTTTGTGGATATTATCAAATTTAAGAAAGTCAAAGCCGGATAAATAATAAAAATCGTTTCGGATATTTCATCAGACTGCGGTTACACAGTCACCAGGTGCAAAAACCGACCTTTGGACAGACAGCACACCTTTAAAAAAAGATGTTCATTGTATATACCCAATAATCACTTATGGTTTATTAGACTGTGCAAATATTAATGCATGAGAATCGAACCACTCGGACTTTGATCAATAACAGCTGGCTCAGTTCATTTTTACAGAGGGGTTGAATATGAGAAATATGATTAATATTGTGCTTCTGGACCTTGTTCAAAAACCGAATATCCTCTGGATTATTATTTATTGAGATCCATCGATGTATGTGGTTGATCCTTCTCTATTGTCAATGTTTCACTCAATCATTGAAGAGGATAAAAGAAAGAAATTTTTGCGAGGGCACCTTACTAAGAGTCGACTGCACCTTAGTTGTGGTTGTGAGGTCCTACTGTAAAATTGAAAATATTTTTTAAGCATTTCAATCATCATCATGTATAATTTTGCATTTGAAAAAGTTTGAATGATATAAAAATATTGAATTGCCAAAGTTTAGGTTAAGTAAAGGTCATTATAAAGCAAATTTGTATTAATTAATTGATTGACTACTTTTTTCATTTATATCGCTGTATTTTTGTATCTATTCAATTTTTTTCCCCGAAAAACTTGCTTTATCCTCATGTTTTGTTTTTCCCTGTAAAATATATAGATTTTGATTCCAACAGAATGATGCATTGCCAGTTACACACACACATTCACACACACGCGTGTGTCCGTGCATATTGATTTGGAATCAGAGATTGATTTGTGAAGTTGTTATAAATGGATCTGAATTTACATCTGTTAAGCATGACTTAGTGATTTTTTTTTTTGCACCATTTTGAAAGTACAAGTATATATGCTATGACATACTTATATATGTGTTTTGACATCCTGTAACCTATTTCACTTTTTTAAGAGAGGAGCATGTATATTCATGTCACTTTCTCTGCAGCTATATGTGTCCTTGTACTACTGCATGTTTTGTATTTTTTTATAACATTAAAAGGTTTTTTCTGATGTGACATGTACACAGAATGAAGAGCCACTTCAGAAACATGGTCATCTTTATGACTTCATAGATATGTGTCTGTTCTTAGTATGTGCTTGAAATATAAACCCACAACCATGTTAATGAACTGGACTATTTGATCATAAATAAAAATGATAATGATTATTCTTTTTTCAATTACTAGTCTTGGGAAAGTATATATTATTCCTCATTTCTGAACCTGTTCTTTGTAGAGCTTGGCGACCAATGGGGTGAAAATAAAGATTCCCTTACCGATGGTGTTCATTTTTACCTCAAGTACATTGGCAATGTGTTGGTAGAAGAGATTGAGGAAGAAGGACGCAGTTATGGAGAGGGACAGAGCACAGTGGCTGTTAAAAATATTGTATCTATGGTAAGGAAAATACTGCACTATTGTCAGCTAAGTCAGAGAGATCAAGACATAAGACAGCAATTCAGATTCAGTTAATAGAATTTGTTTGTCCACCAAATGTGCACATTTTTGTTGAACTGTAAAACCACAAACCACAACTCTCCTATTTAACACTTACGCAAGGAGGTCACTGTTCAGCACTGAAATATTTATACAGACTTTTTGGTTTAAGCAAGACAAAAACATCTGCCAATAAATGGAGTTGTTTGTTATGGCGAACCTCGGTTAAACTTGTTGACTGTGGATTCCTTTTGATCCCAGTTTTAATGCTGAAGCTGCAAGTAATCCAGGGTTCACTTTACCATCCCGCCTGTATGATGCTATTTGTACATTACTTTGACAAACATTCTTTACATTAATTCCCCTGGTAAGTAAAGAGCGAAAATATGCAGGTGAAAACTACCTATTGTAAAGATGGGGAACAAGTACCCAGGTATTCAGATAAAGTAGAGGGGTATGGTTGTGGGTCAGCATCACTTTAATATGATCATTGGTTTTGTGTAGTTTTCCTTAAATTTTTTTTCTATTATTATTGAGCAAACTGGTACTGCTGTCTTCTATCTTTAAACAAATGTGATCAATCTGATTCCAAGATTTTATCAGTTAGTGTAAATATTCATCCTTTTTTTAAATATGTAGACTACATCCAAGCATTATTTTGTGTAGGTTTTCTTTTTACCTCAATATAAATATCCTAACATGTCACATGGGCAACACCTATAAATCATCTCATTGATAAAAGTGAAAGAAAATCATAAACAATTAACACACAAGTTACTTATTGATATGAAATTAATTGTATTTTTGCCCTTAATCATCTTTTCCGTTTCTTTCATCTACTAGGCAAAAGCCAACTTCAAAAAGATACGGAAAGTTGTTTTGACTGTATCACCTCGTGGTATTAGGGTGGTAGACCTGGCAACCAAAGAAGTTTTAACAGAAATCTCAATATACAGGTAAGTCTTAAAAACCAGTTATTTGCAAAATACTAAGGCTTCTTCTAATGCAGTTAAAGTAAAAACATGTATGTAGTGTAAGATATTATAACATAAAAATTTATAGTTATCTTTGGTGCATTGCATTTTAATATATTAATGTGATCATTCCTGTGATTTTATATAAGTAGACTGTGTGTCTGTGTGCACTTTGGGGTGCTTAGTAGTTGGGAATCTTTGTAAGAAGGTGAAAATGTAGAGACCTTGCTATGACTATAATTAGTGAAAAAAAGATATCCATATGTTTCATACTATCTTTTAGTTAATGTGTGTTATATAGTCGTTATGTGCACTCAAGGGTGCTCTGCAGTCAAACATGCAGTAGCGTGTGGCTTTTGTCAGAAATCAGAAGAGCTAGGTAATGGTAGGAGAGTTGGAAAAAGCATGATGAATGACATGACAATAGCTGGAAAAAGACTTGCATATCATATTTCATGGTTATTGATACAGTGCACCTTGATAGTGTGCATATGTCCTCGGGTGGTTTTTACACTGCGCCAAAATATGCCTGGTGGGTAATGTCTGCAACTTTGAAAACGATTTATAACTCATATAAACAGCTTTCATATAAATATCAAAAGGTTATGTAAACTTTACTTTTCTAATACATTTGCTTGCTATGGAAAGTAATTCAAGAAAATCCAGTCTGATAGACCCCACTCACACCCCTCTTTGCATGACAAATTCACTCATGTTCTGAAAATTCAGTAATTGAAGCCTTTTTGGTACCACAAATATGTTACCCTTTGGAGTTAAGCAAAGGAAATGGATATCCTCAATGTCTATTTTATAGAACCGGATTATAAAAATGCCTGCCTGTAATAAAAATTGTGGAAATTTGTCATTTGTTTACAGTGGATGAGAGAGTTTACCTCTATAAAGTCTAGTAATTATGGAGAATGTATCCACACAAATTTACTATCATTTCTTAAAGATGCATATGAAGTAAGAGTAAGTGCCCTGTAATGTACATGAAACACGTCTTCCAGTTTGTTACACAGCAAAAATAAAATTCCCATGCAAAAAAATAAATAAATAAATCTTATGGGCAGCAAAAAAAAAAAACAACAAACAGCTCAAACACTGCAGCTTCTTCAAAGCTCTGGTCATAAATTTAATCTATGCATCCCCCCTCCAGTATTTAGAACACAGAAAACAAGTGCAAATATCATTTTTCAAGAAATAATAATGAACCTCTGTGGTATTCTCTGAAACTAGACTATTTGAAACGCTGTGGTGGCTTTAACTGGCTTTTGGTTCGGGTTAAGTGGCAATAATTTGACATAAGTACTCGCATAATAAGATATATATATATATATATCTTTGAGTGGCTGTAACTGGTTTTTTGGTTTGGTTAAGTGGCAATAATTTGACATAAGCACTAATGTAATAATACATATATCTTTAAGCATCCTGTATGCATTTTTCAAAGTTTAACATATGGCTGAATATCATTTCAGGATACAGTTTTGCACAGCAGATAAAGAACATGATAAAGTTTTTGCGTTCATTGCAAGGAATACAACCAATGAAACCATGGAATGCCAAGCATATCTCTGCTCCAAGAGAAAAGTGGTATGTTTGCAGTGAAATAGAAGTTGACTTATTGTTTTAAAAACTCTCTCTCTCTCACACACACACACACACACACACACACACACACACACACACACACTTCAAATCAGAATAATGGGCATTTCAGTCAAAAGACTTGCACCTAGCATCATATTAGGCATCACAAAATTAGCCATGTGTCTGAGATATTAAGCTGCATGTACACGCACAGGTGATAATGATTAGGGAGATGTTGCAGGTGTGCTGAATTATCTGTTTCACATTAATGATGAAACAGTGTGCATTGGCCATGAGTGTTGGTATTCTATATTTGCCAGATGAGAAGTCATTTTGGAATTTTTTAGCTATTCAGAGAAGTTCAAATTTGAAGGAAAAAGGAATTACACAAATGTTTTGTTTAAATGTACTTTTGGGATAACTTAGAACTAGTCTACTGAAAATGTGTACATTTTCAGTTGTATTGCCTCAAATTGAATTTGTAATGTTTTATCTCCTCACCCATCACAACATATAACAATGCATTCTGCTATTTACTGAAACTCATTATTTTGTTTACAGGCAGAAGCTGTGACACTGACAGTAGCTAAAGCCTTTAATGTTGCTTATGAGGACTGGGAAAATTCAAGGGAAAAGAAGGAGAGTCAAAACTTACAGGAAGGACAAGACATACCAATTCAGAATAATCACAATAATGTAAGTATCATTGGTTTTGATGTGTAAAATATGAGTGGCTGTACTATTTGCAAGGCAAACTTGCAGTATTTTGCTTTTGCCATTCTTGTAGAGCTGTTCAACTTCATTTGCTATGCTTTTGCAAATTTGAGTAATGTTAGTTAACTAGATAAAGGGTGTTAATTATCTGTATGCCTTTTTCCCAATTCCAGCACAAAATGGCCTCTCCATGTTTAAGTAGAAGCTCTGCAGGTTCTCCAGATAGCATGGGTAGGTATTGTTATGAAATATTTGAAAGGGGGGGGGGACTCTACTGAATAGGTATATATTGACAATGTGTATACCAGTCAGGATTTATATCACCTTATATGTCAAACTGATACAGATATTTTGTGTTGTATGTTTCATGTAGCATTTTATAGAGAATTGTTATCTTATATTTTTGTGTTATTGAACTGATAATATGTGCTTTTTGTATGTAAGTTTATTGCTACATTGTATTAATCTTTTCATTTTTTTCCATTTTAGCATCTATGTCATCAGATGGACACAGCTTACACACAATCTCTTCTGACCGGTCAGACACCTGGGTGCAATTTGATGATGATGATCTGGATGACTGCTTTTCAAAGTAAGTATCATCTATAATACACTATCTGGGGAAACCAAAAAGTGGTCACTACATACCACGGAATGTGAAGATCAAGCACCAACCTGTATAACCCTCAGTGGGTTTTACCATGGTGTTGTAATTTGCAGGGCTCAGAATTTTATTTTTGTTTGTGGGCAGGTAGGGGGAGGTACATGACATATGAAGCTGTAGAGATCATTAGTTACATGAACTCTTGTGTGTGGTATTTTTGGTTAGTATATACACAGGGTACAATATGGTATAGTTATGGATGTGATGCAGATTTTTGCTTAGTATGTGTAACATAAGGGAAACATTCAACTTTTTATAGCATATATTAATTGATATTAATGACAATATTTTTTTTATATTTCTTATACAACTTAACCAATTCTTCCAGGCTTGCGGAGTCAAGGAGTAAAGATCCCAAGGCCTTCCTCCCTACAGACATGCGACCAGAAGAATGGGACAATTTCTTAGAACCCTATGGAAAAAACTCTTCTTTTGATCAGTTCTGGCAGAGTTCAGGACAGGAAAATCTGTTGCAGTTATAGAACATCATTGTTTGCAACAGTTCAGTGTTCCAAAGCACAAAACTAACAGAAGAGGCAAACAGGAAAATAAACACAACTTGCAAGTGTAGTTCAAAATTCAAAGGACCAATGTTGGTGTCTGTTGACCATTTTTGGCCAGAAAAGGGTATAATTTTCAGGATCTTGATTCTTTGGTCGATATGTATTTTTTTGGATAGAGTGCATAATACCTGTATGTTGCGATGACCTGTGGATGATTGATGATGCTAACTAATGACTGAAGCAGATAGAGACTGCATTGGATTTTCTTCTACCAGCTCTTTGAGAGATTATCTCATGACTTTACATCAATCTGACAGCTGATTTGAGTGTGTATTTTTGACGACATCATTATGTGAAATGTATTGAAGCCTTTGATTTGCCTTGGACTGGACATTAATCAAAACCCAGAGCTACTTGATAAACATGATGAGTCAGTAGGTAGAAGAGACTTACCACTGATTTTATATCTTTATTATGAAAGAATGTAATGAAGGTAAATATGATTTTTGTGCATATTGCATGTGATAGAAATCAAAACATTTGTTGAATGTTAGTTATTTTCCTATTGGCTGTTACAAAATAGGAAATTGCATATTGTTAATTTAAGATTCTTCAATTATTAAGTCATCCCTCTGTAAGCTTGGTCTTTCTGACTTAAGTTTTCTTGTCACGTTTTTTTTATTATTTGTTATATGGAGGTATACAAGCGAGTCAGTATAAAACTGATAGAACTTATGCTGCAATTTGTTAATAAGAAATTTACTTCTAAAAAATACCCTGTTTTAACTTTTTTTACATCTAAGTAACATTTTGTCTCAAAGTAAATGTGCTAATATCAGAAGTCAAGGGGGTCAAAGGCAGTGGCTTATCAGCTATATGACTTCCATCTACCTTCTTGCCTTCTCAGATGTGCTTCCCACAGTATGTTCCCATCATATTTGATATAGGATGTACATGTTTTCTGTTGCATGTCATTTATTCTAAAGTTGCCATTGTGATGTGTGCTTAATCCAAGTGTCAAAGTCACAATATTGCAATCTAACTGTATGTTTCCACCCAGTCTTAAAACTTCAATAAACCTGTGAGCAGCTTAATATATTGGAGTGATCTGACACTGGGTCTAAATAAGTATACTTTGTAATGTATGTTTATGTTATACTTTTTCATACTGTTGACATTAGTGGAATAAAACCTATTTTTTGTACGCTATAAGGAGTCTTTTAATTCCTTGACTGGCAACATCAAATGCCTTTAATCCACCATTTGAGCAGAAAACAAAAGGCCGTGACTTGCTATATTCTATGGCAGGTTATGTCAAAAATACAAAAAGCGTGTTTTACACAAAATTGAAGAGATAGTAGAGATGGTCAATCATGTCCAGTTTCAAACTTGACCCGCAATTTAGAATTAATCACTGTTTGAAACAAAATGGCCCACCAGTTACTGTTACTTTTGTGGAAGCAAGAAATGGAAACATCTCTCACTCCAGCCCTGGCTCTCACTCTTCACCACTTTATCTGCACACGAGAAGGAAAAGCACTTGAAGAAAGCATACAAGTTTTAAGGACATATACCTTGTTTGTCAAATTCAGGCAATTTGAGGCATTTATTGTCATACATGTAATATTCTTGGATGTAATTTGTTTTCAGTCAAAGTATAGTAGTTTTGCAGGTGAGGCCATACATGTATTGGTGGTTCTGGGTGAAAGTGTGATTTTCATTTTTCTCTCTATTACCTGGGTTAAATAAGGATGGCTAATATGGACAAAGAGTTCTGTTGTATTGTGAACTTTTTTTTATTCATTTAAGCCAGGCAATGACTTTGAACTGTCATTTGGTTTGGATTAATATCTTCATGTAGGTCATACATTTTAGACAAGTAATACACTTCATTAAATAAAGCCACATTTACAACAGAGGTCATTCGCACATCAAAATTAGCCAACCCACTTGAAAGCTAGCCACATAATCCTGCAGGAAATCTATTCAGTGTCTGTTGGGGGAATTATGCAGCAAGCTTTCAAGTGGGTCAGCCACATTTGATCCACAGATCTGTTAGTCCCTGGATTATCCCTGTTGTAAATGCTCTATTAGAACCACTGTTCTTACTGCCTTGAGATATGGTTTTAGAAGATTAAAATTAAGGTTTACGTTGTTTAAAATGTTTTTTTAAAGTGACAAAAAGTCATTATTTTGGCATTTTTTTATTTTACCCCCTCCAATTTCTAATGAAAATAAAAATTGGTTGGAGAAAAAGTAATTCAAAAACACCTGCCTAACATTAAATTACATCAATATCACTGGACTTAAGTAAACAAAACTGCCTCACATTGGTGAAAGAAATCTTGTCAAAAATGTACCAGATTCTCCTTCTGTTGATAACTACACCATTTTTTGTGATGACATCTGCAGCTTTTATTCCCCAAATTGATTACTTTCTATGCCCAATTGATGTTATACACTTCCAGGTAAAAAATTAAACCTGTGGACAATTCCAGCTATACCCATTATCAACATTTTGATCAGCATAGTCCTTTTCATGCACCAATAATAAGTAACCCAAAAATAATACCGAAATAAGGAGAAATCTTGGATTCTGTGTATTATTCTGCACTTCAAGGCACACTACCCTACATTCAAGGGTATACATCCTTTAATATTGATTTTGTTAGATTTACAACTCTAAATATATGATTGTTTTTGTTATCATTCATGATCATTTGGGAAAATACAAAACTCCAACATACGGTCACCTTGAATATTGCATTAATTACAAAAGTATAGCAATTAACTAATGTTTCACATTACTTAATAAAGACCCCATCGATACAAATGACAAAAATCTTGATTTTACAAAATTATCATCAAGTCATAGCTTTTGTATTAAAAAAAAAAAGTTTTACAGCTGATCCAGTGCACATAGCTTCCATGGGAAGCAGTTGTGATGCTTCATAGAAATAACAAATCCAAACTCTCTTACAGAATTCTGCCATCTTTTTGATGCAAGAACAATACAATTATATTAAATCAGCCAATAACCTTGTGTTTAGACCACTGGTTCAACAGAATGGTTTGACCATGGAAGTCCTAAAATGCTTAGAGTGCAAGTGCACAATGTCATTCGCAAGTCGACAATAATCCACCAATTAATCAATCAATCTAGAATATCAAGCAACTTAAACAGCTAAGATTTACACAGTTAATTGAAAATGTGTTGAGATCCTTCAGCCCAGATGTCATATCCAGAGTATCAGAGTGCATATGTGTACATACAGTCTTTCTTCAAGCAAAATGTGAAATATACATCTTAATATCTAATGAATAATGCAACTAATATTTCTTTAAAGTTTTCTTGATGAGTGCCAATCTCTGTTTATGTGCCTCTGTTGTTACAGATTTTTTAAATGGTCTTACTTCCTCAGAGCCAAAGCCTGGGATCCACATGTTCCAGTTACGCTCTGGAAAACAAATGTCACATAAAAAGGTAAATATTGTAGAGTAAATGTGGATATGACTATTAAGAGCACCACTGAGCAAACAGAATAGACAAACAAGATATCAGTGCTGTAGCAGCATTCAAGAATGAAATCAAATTAGTTTGGAATCAGTTGTCCATTTTTTTAGTAGTTGGAAAAAATACAATCAAAAAATTATGGCCATCTAAAATACATGACCAATATAAGTACCAACATTAAAGATATCAAGAAGGAGTACTGTAGAGATATAACAACTTTTTACCTAGGTGCAACTGCACATCTTTCACATCCAACGTATTGGCTTTCCTGTGCTTGGCCAACAGGCAGGCAGCATTTACTACATTATCTATAAAGTCATCTGCTATATGCATAAGAACCTAAAAAAGAGTGATTGCATCATCAAAATCAATGCAAATGAGCTAGAATCATTCATACATGAAAATAATAGTAAAACAAAGAAATACGATTTTACATCACCCATCACTAAAAAAAAATCCATATCTTAAAATATTTTGCTGTTAGAAAAATATTTTACTAAAAATGTTAGCATCAGAAAAAATTCAACATAGTGAAGTATAAACCAACTGCATCTTCACACCTCTTCCACCTCTTCATCCAGTTGCTCCAATGGATCAACTTCCTTGACTAATTCCTGGAGCCTCCGCTTGTCCAGCACCCTGCTCTCACCCAGCATTAACCCACCTGGTCCCTGTGGTGCTGGACGAATGGGTACAGACGCACCACCAAGACTATTGAGGGAAGAGGCAGAGGCACCTTCTGACACCTGAGATTTCTGGGCAAACTGAAATTTTCATTTGTTCAAATTGATTCAGAAGTGGTCATAATACAATTTAAAAAAGATCTTTCTTCATAATATACATCATTAACTGCATTACATACATCATATAAAGCATATTCATAAAGAAAGTAAATCTGATAGTGCTGCATTCTTTATGTTAGTCATGGTATCCGTGCCAAATCTCTAGGAAATTCATGTATAAATGTGTATATGTCTTTACACACAACTGCAAAATTTAAATTTCACACTGTTAGACTTCTGTGCAGTTATGCTTCCCTTTACTCCACAAATGTTACATCTACAATATGCTCATGTGGTCTATATCCATAAAACACCCCTAGAACCAGTCAGAACCTTACAAGACCAATCCCATATTAACAAAGACTGTATGAAGACAGTAAAGCCCATTACCATACCATCTGTTCTTTGGCTTTAGCCCGTAGTTGATTAAGCTTGCTAATCTCCTCTTGATGTTTGATGCTGTGAGGACCAGGACCATAGGACTAGAGAAAGAAAGGATTATTTCTCTTTTTTCTCAGGGGCAAGGGAGTTGTATTCAGTTTTGCCACTAGGCAACAAAATGAAGGGTTCCAATATAAGCCACATCAAAAGCACAAATAACTGAGGATACAACAAACTACGAAATCATTTAATATGTGTTGCTATCCAGGTGCCAAAATAAATCCATACACCACTTCTAGTTTCTTGCTTTTATGAAACCCATCTTTATGTTAAGCATGCTTTAACCTGATAAAGCACTTGATAAAATATAAATTGGATCCCCAACCATGTTTTTCAAACAATATTCAAGTGTTCATCTCTAAACCACTGCAAAGATTTACACTGAAGAACTGCAGGTTAACAACTGCACATAATATTCAACTAGACAGCAAAGCTGGCAAATATACAGACACCATACAGGAAACAAGGCAGCAAAGCTGCTAAGTGTTCAGACATTACGTACAAAAAAAGTGCACAAAATAATGTTTTGGCCAATAGTTACATAATGCTTTAAAATAGCATAATCACTCTTACTCTCTTATGTTATGTACTACATGTAACTTGGACACTGAAAAACTAGCAAGTGATTCAGTTCCATGGGATATACAAGCCACTGAAAATGCAAATGACTGAAAATGAAAATTTCCCAAAAAATAAAAAATAAAAATAAAATAAATAAATAAAATAAAATAAAATAAAAAACAGAATAATTGCCACAAAGGTAACCCAATCATGCTGATTTTTGAAAGCTTCTTTACCACACAATGCCACTCAGTAAATTTAAAGTAAAACAAAAATATGGTTTGGAAGTTGTGGGGCAAACATCACCAAAATTGTGCACAACATAGAATAATTACCGTAAATATACACCACTCATGCTCAATTTTGATAGCAACCTGCCTCTTTACCAAACAAAGCCACTCAGTAAATTTTCAGTAAAAAAATATGATTTGGCAGTTATGGGGCAAATGTCGAATGTCGGACAGTGCTGGCGAGGACACGGACAAACAGACCAATCATAATATATACAGACACTTACAGTGTCTGTATATAAAAAGTTGTTAAGAGCTGCCAGTTTTCTGCAGCTCTCATTCTTCACATTTAAAACATGTAAAGCTCAAGCAACATGCAAAATATTAGTTCATTAAGTTAGTGCAAGAAATTACATGACATCTTATTCTTTAAGTTAGCACTGAGAAATGATAAGTTTACAAAGCACAACAGAGCGAAGAAAATGGACCAAGACAAATTAAAAATGCAGTCAATGAAGCTGTAATTCTTTGTAAATTCTGGCATATTATCCACCAATGTTTTAAAATTTAGTCTTGCACTTGCAGATTTTCGTAAACTTAGATTTGAGTAAAAGTCAGTTCCTTTGCTCCTTAGTGTAACATAAGGTGCTAAGTGTTGTTATATGACAAACAAGTGATGGTAGGTATAAAATCTAGTAACAGGTTCAAGTCTGGCTTACAGCTATTTTCTGTTCAACCTGTCTGATGGTATCAGCAAGAGTTCCTGGTTGCCGGATAGGTGTGCTGCCACCTACTGGAGAGGGGCTGGCCCCAGTTGGGCCACTGCCAGGTGTACTCATTTCTGCTGCAATTTGCCTGGAAATCCAATGTATGGTCTAGGTTTGTAGCTAAACATCAACATGCAGGGCATACATTTCTGGCTTAGACTGAAGCTACACTGACATAGTGCATTACTACTCTACATTTATATCTTTGACATATCTTGTGTTACAGGATTTTTTTCTGGAAAAAAATAGGTAAGTTTCTAATAAATCAAATACATGCCGATATAGCATACCTTGCAGTATAGTGTTAAAGCATACATTTTCACATTATCTTTAATTATAATCATTTTCCTAAAATTTACATGTACTAGTTAAGTGGATTTCATGGACATTGAAACAGGTGTTTCAGAGCTACTAAATTTTTTCCTCCAACTCACTTTCAAAATGATGCAGTATAAAAGCAAATGCAAATATATTTCATGCATTATACAATACTTCATCAGGATTTAACCTATCTGTTACTTATTAACAGCCACAAAACATAGGCTAGTTGATGACAGTAACTTAATTCAAAAGTGCTACTGGTGACAAAATGTGAAGACGCAAGATGTGAAGGAAAATTCTGAAGCCATTTTACAAATTGAACTTAATGCATTACCTAGAAGTCATCTTAGTAGTTTTGAAGTATTTATCAGTTTCCCACCCACCCACCATCTCGATATTTTAATGAATTTATATGGTGAGTTATATCAAGATTTTTTATAATTAACTTTAAATCTTTTTTCATTTAACTTTCAAGGTACAGTGTATTTGACCATGCACTGTCATTACAGCAGAATTATACCCCTACAGTGGCATCAGCTTTCATAATATTTTGAATGGGTATAAAGTTTCTTGACAAATCATCAAAACATTGCCAAACTAATTTGAGTAGCAGAGGCAATGTTTAAAGTCGCCACATAATTTAGCAAAATATTCATAATCTAAGATCTATAGGGTGAGGAAGAGTGCAAAAGTGCAGTTATTTTTACTATATCTTTCATGCTCTATGACTATATAAAGCTATTAAGGACGTACCCAAGTACCCAAATTTCTTAAATCGACACACCTGAACGTGACTTAACTGAATATTTCAGAGCAAAACCTTTGGTACACATTGCACATTTATTACTTACCTTGCCTAGCAACACATGATTGTTAAGCTGCAGTATCAGTAAACAATGAAATTGTGAAGGAATCTTTTAAAGATAAAACATGGCAACAGTATTAATGTCCCTCCATTTTGCTTGCCTGAAGATAGATGGCAGCAGTGAATGTTGATAGCAATGTATTCCTCATGTTCAATTTTAGAAGATCAAAAAAATCGTAGCCAACAATGTTGTTTTGTATTAACAAATGTTGCACTCAGTGTTTTATTAATCTATACTATTATGCAATCAGTGTAATATTATCTATTTTAACATTTGTAACATATTGCATTATAGCGCCCTCTATCCATAGCAAACCGTATGAACAAGATAAGGTAGTGGACACTAAGGACACAGTGCTAAGGACAGTATTTCTCCATGATGACGGAGGAAAAGAAATTAGACTTAACTGCCTCAGTGAGTATAAATTCTCTCTCTCTCTCTCTCTCTCTCTCTCTGATGAATTTGTTGAATACATAAAAAAGGAATATTTTTATTATTATATGGAATTGACATAAAAGAGTAATAAGCGTACAGTCTTTATTAAGATATATCCCATTTTCAGCTGGTTGATTTGAAAGCAGAATTGTTTAGAAAACAACAACAGTTCAAAAAAGAAAAACTTCAAAGTGGAGGTGCTCCAATTAAGGGGAAAACTGTGACTAAAGTAAGAAAAATGCACAACTACTAACTTTACTTCAAAAAGTAACTATTATACATGCTTGTTTCGTCTGTTATTTAAAATTTGAAATGGTTTAACTATGTTACATTTAAGTAACATTATTGTCAATATTCCCACTGTAACAGTACTAGCACATACATGTACCACACAGCACATCTGCAGCCAGCACAAACAGCCTGGTACCTGCCAGTTGTCAAGAAAAAGAAATAATATTTATATTCTTTACTTAGATTTATTTATTTTTTTTTAAACTAGAAGCCCAATATTTGGGGTCATAAAAACGCAGGAGTCTCAGAGAGGGCACAAAGGGACTTGGAATCTAAGAAAGAGGAAGACAGTGCTTGGGAGAAATCCAGGTAATATAATTGCATTGCAAAAATAATTTTCCATTATGAATGGTAGGTACAGTGCAGGTCATAATTTGTTTTGATAAGCAAGAGCAAAAGCCATTGAACATAGACATTGTAAGGGACCTTCATTTGCCTTAATGTTATATATGACATTATATTTAAGATCAGGTTTCAGAGTCTATATCTGTCTTGACTTACACGAGGGAGTCTGTCTCTTCATCAATGGGCTTGAGCAGTATTTTAAAGGTGACTGGCCATAAATCTTCACCATTTTCATAATTACATTACTAAAATGTGAATACTTGAAATGACTATAGTTCTCTTCTTAAACTGATTGGACAGATGGGGTTTTAGCTTTAAAAAATATTACATTTTAACATGCCTATTAATAGTCATAGAGCGTGCTCTGGCTTTTCCAACAGATGGAATATAATTTTATGCATGATGTAAAAACTGTAATAAAATAACTAAAAAAGTATAAACTGCACCATTTTAAAAGCTATGTCATATATGTTCCAACTTTAATTCAGAAATAAAGATTTATTGAACTTAATTCAGTGGTAACTGAATTAGTGTGCAGTGTATATTTAAGGTCCTGAATTAGTTATTTCTCTTTCTTTGCTAGATCTTCACTGGAAGCTAAAGCTAAATTATATGAAAAAATGACAAAAGAAGGTTACATACATGGTAAGTTGTTTTGCTCTTTAGAAGTGGTGACAGAAAGTTAAGGGAGAATATTGGATGTGTTATAAATATTCATTTTAGAGACATTTTGTTCAATTTCTGTAATAGACCAAGAAGTTTTTTTAAAGCCACTACTGATTTTATGTTTTCTTATAGAGGAAGAACATGATGAGAGGATTTTGGTAGACTTCCAAAGAAAAACGTATGAAGCCATTATTGAGAAGAGACATGAAGAGAGACAAATAAAAGAAACAGAAGATAAAGAAAGAGAACCAGATGTTGACATCCCTCCACCTGCAGACCCAGAAGAAGAATGGTATGTGTTGTGATATGTAGATATCAGGGCTTGACATTAAGGGTGGCCCACTGGCCCTGGGCCACTGAAAACCAACCTAGGGCCATTGAATTGAATTGATGGGGTCAGTGGCCCGAAGACCAAGTAAAATGTCATGTGTCAAATCATCCTTGCAATATTTACCCATATCGCGGGCCAGTATCGAAAAAAGTTAGTGTCAAGCCCTGAATAGGACCATTACATTTGTAAGTCAGATTGGCAGTCATTTTGATCATAAACTATTTAAGAAGGCCTATGTGGAGACCAACATTTCCATGCTCCTTATCTTCCCCATTTCATGAAGTAGGGGGCACAATACTGTAAATCAAGTTGTCCGTCTGTCAGTTCCCATTTGTGAGCATTTAGGCTTAACGGCTGTTTCAATTTTCAAAAAAATATCAAAGAAACTTTGACTACATGAAGAATTGAATGTGTTTTTGTATACTTGCAAGGGTATTAGTTCAAGCTATGGGATCTGTGGTAAAGATCTTTTCAAGGTACAAATTTGGAAAAGAGGTGAGCTGAGGTCACCAGATTTTGAGTGCAACTTACCCAAGCCACTGTATTAATCACATTCAGTGTTAGGTCATGTTTATAATATGTTTTGAGTTATTTTTTATTTTTATTTCAGGGTTGACTATGTTGACAGCCTAGGTCGCTCAAGGCGATGTATGAAAAAAGATTTGCCAGAATTGATAAATATGGACAAAGGACTTGGCAAGGAGACCAGGTGGGTGGCAACAAGTGTAACATACAGTTTTCCACCTCATGTTGAAAAAAAAAAAAAAAGAAATATAAATAAATGGCCCATATTAGCATATTGCAATGTATCTCAATATGATTGGAAAATGATCCCAGTCAGATCAGTTTCAAAGTATCGCAAAATAGATTGTCAAGATAGTATTTAAAATATATTACATTCCATTAGAAGTTTCACTTTTGTTCATATAATTTTTTCAAAGACGCCGTACAGCTTTCTGTAATATAACAGGAATGTTTGTTTCACAGGAATGTTAAAAGCACAAATGAGGACCTTTCCAGCAAACCTTCCCTTGTGTCAAATGACATGTACAAAGAAATGCTTCGACAGAAATGGGAGAAGGAAGCTTTAGAAGATTTGAATAAACCAGTTGGGGATGTACATTATGCTAATGTACAGTTTGATGGTAAAAGTCTTATTCTTAAAATAGTATCAGTTATAGTAATACTATTAGCATTGTTGCTGGCACAAGATAAGAAGTTATTTTTTATCTGTATTTATTTATTTATTTATTTTTTTGTTTGTTTGTTTGCTTGTTTGTAATCTGTTTTGTCTTTTTTCTGATACTCCCTGTTTATTTGAAGGTGCAATTCATATTTCCTTGATTTTTGTATCAACCTTTAAGTTTATGTTTCATGGATTCCAGAAATAAGAACTCATGGTGTAGGATATTATCAGTTTGCCAAAGATGAAACAACAAGAAAACAACAGATGGATATGCTTGGAAAATTAAGAGATCAGGTAACATGGTGGTCAGATTGGAGAATAATTTTGAATAACATTAAAATTTATTTTGTACAGCTTACTGATTGTGATGTGTGCTCAATCAATAATAGTTTGCATTTTCACATGACCATTTTTGTTATTATAGAAAGTTAATAATCAATTGTTATATTACTAACTCTTTTATAGACTCAAGATCAAAGATCTAAGAGGGAGATTATTAAAGAAAAAAGAAAGGCACAGTTACAGGCCAGACTTGCAAAGGTCAGACAAAGAAAGGGAATAAAAGAGGAAGAAAAAGAGACAGATGTTGAAGTAAAAGGTTTGCCTTTCCTTTCACCATTCCCTTCTTGATATAGTGATCTTTCTTCTGCATACACATATCATACTGTTTGCTTTTATCATTTCATTACAGCATTCTGTGGATCTGATTCGTGTCACAGAGAAAGTGGGAAATGTGAAAAAGAAGTAAATTTATATATTTATATTAAAAGTAAAGGTATATTTTGAACATGATTTTTCTTATGATGCTACCTTTTTTGTTACTAGAGAAGGAAGACATGATTGGTCCAGGTGTCACTGAGAAATTGATAGAGGCAAGAACTATTTCAGAGAGAGAGATTGAGGATAAAAAACGTGCCACAGCTCCTGTTAGAGAATGGGATAAAGAAAAGAAAAGTGAGTAGTTTTGATTTGTACTATTTATACTATTGGCCATTTTAACATGGATTATGCCAGAAATCTGATAAAGCACTACATGTTGCCACAGAACTTCAATCACAAAATATTTAACCAAAATTACTGGAGCCAAAGATGGTGTTTTATACATCTTCTCACTAGATATGGTGAACTCAGAATAATTAAGAGACATCAATCATACATTTTAGGTGTTGAGGCTAGTTGGAATTCATGCAGTGATGCTGAAAGAGTGGCAGAATTTGCACCTCCAGACAACTACTTTGACACTGCTGTTCCAAAGAAAAGGGCACGATCTGATCCTCGAGATGAAAGATTAGAAGAATTTGCTCCTCCTCCATCTTATTACCAACAGTCGTCAGAAAAAAGTTGGAAAAATACTCTTAAAAGTAATAATAAACTGAAGACTCCAAATTCTGAAGAACTTAAGATTAATACAACAAAAATGTGTGCAAATGAGGCCAACCTAAGTAAACCTTCCAGCAGTAAAAACAGTGGAGAAATACTTGAAATGCCATTTAAAAAGAAATTGGTTAGGGAAATTACTAGCGAAGCTGTCAGAGATTTGTCTCACATACCTTTACCTCCAACACAAGTAAAAACAAAGGAGTCAGTTGCAGAATCCAAAGTAGAATGTCCAATGCCACCTACACAGGCAACTCCATTATTGAACCCAATTTCACAAGAGCAATTACCTAATCCTTTTGTAAGTCAGCAATTGCAGCCTTCACAGGTACATGCAAACATTTCACCCTTTGGACAATATCCAGTGATTAACTCCCATACAGGTTCTACTTTTGGAACAAATAATGGCATGTCAGCCCATTCAAGGCAAAATTGCACTGTTTCTGAACATTCAAGTCATCAGACTCGATATGGGGTTGTGTCTTACATGGAAAACGCCAATAAACAAATGCCTACATATTTGCACGAAACCTCCAAAGTTCCTTCTCAAGTAAGTCACATGAGTGAAGAGGACTATAAGAGACTTGTGAGAAACTTGCCCAGCTCTCTTCCCGCTCCTCCAACCCAAGATCAACCACTTCCAGTGTACCCGAGCCAAGCAGATCCTTACAGTTGGGATCGATATGAAGCGCCTGCTGCAAAACCTATTAGTGTTGGTATGAAAAAAGCTGTTGATAGGACATCAAGTGCATTCTCAGTGACACTCACAGAAATGCCTTTAGCAGGAGATTCGGAATGCACAAGAGAAGATTCTGGTCAAGAGAAGACAAATAAGAGAAACACAGTTTCTAAAACAAAGTGGAAACATGGTGCTGCTGCTGAAAATGCACGGCAGTCATCTGAATCAGTTATTGGAGAAACTCTCAAATACTTCAGACAGCTGACAGAAAAAAGGTCAAATGACAAAAATTGACTCTTTTCAGGAACTTATCTACCTAAAAAGAAAATGTACTGTTTAAGGAATGCATTTGTATCCACTTAAATTTTTTCAAGAAAATCCTACCCGTCAGATCACGTTCTAATATGAGATTCCCCAGTAACAAGTCACAAAGTCATGTTATTGTATTCTTTATTATTTATTAGAAAGCTAATCAGTTCCAGACTCTAAATATGTCAATACAGAGCAAAAGATAAAAGCACTCAAGACCACAACTGGCATACACAGACAGCACATTACATTAACAACATACTCTGAAAGGATAAAGCAATACAAGTAACTATAATCTACAGACATAAAAGTACAATTCAGAATAATATCAATGTACAAGTTCTTTGCTAATTTGTGACATTTAAAGTTTCTTACAGGTTATCTGTACAAAAAAAGAGGTTCAGATATTAGGAATAATACTGTCCCAACTTTTATGTACAGTAAATTATTTTATATACATCTTGTTAAGTTAATAAAAAGGGTATTAACCCAAATAAAATAACATTTTTGTGTTTAATGATAGAATTTGGTTTTGTCTGTGTTGTGAAGAAATGCACAGGCAATATCCCACCTGTTATCATACAGTATAACCATTTGAATACAAAGTAGAGGGTGTTATGCATTTCTCCTAATTTCAACAAAAGCTTGTGGTAATGGGGGACTTAACCCTGGAATGCGGGGTATGGATTTTTCAATAGTGAAATATATTTAAAAGACTACAGTCGTGTATCTCCAATGTATTGAATATCTTGTAGTTAACGTCTTTTTGGAACAAATGGAACTTTCTCATCAGATTGCCAGTCCAAATACGCTCACTATGCAGTACATGGTCTTGTTCTCCCACCTTACAGTGCAACTCCCTGTAACAAAAAGTGGAAAAGCATGAAGAAACTGACAACCATCCTTGGAACAGTTTCTTTAATTCTCCTGCTTAACAATTTGAAGATATTCTTTCTGTTTATCATGTACCTCCGCATGTGTTTGAGCAATAAACCTAAAGGTGGTAAATGGAATAATTTGTCTTTAATTTTCCCACCATTAATACTTTGGTCTTTTATATTACATTCTTTTCAAAATAATGAGATTTTAAAACTTGGCTTAAGCCAAATGGAAAAATATGTGGTATATGGTATATAAGAATTTAGAACTAGGTCAAGTGATGGTGGGTTGATGATAAAAATTATTAAAGNACAGCTTTGCTGCCTTGTTGTTATTATAGAAAGTTAATAATCAATTGTTATATTACTAACTCTTTTATAGACTCAAGATCAAAGATCTAAGAGGGAGATTATTAAAGAAAAAAGAAAGGCACAGTTACAGGCCAGACTTGCAAAGGTCAGACAAAGAAAGGGAATAAAAGAGGAAGAAAAAGAGACAGATGTTGAAGTAAAAGGTTTGCCTTTCCTTTCACCATTCCCTTCTTGATATAGTGATCTTTCTTCTGCATACACATATCATACTGTTTGCTTTTATCATTTCATTACAGCATTCTGTGGATCTGATTCGTGTCACAGAGAAAGTGGGAAATGTGAAAAAGAAGTAAATTTATATATTTATATTAAAAGTAAAAGTATATTTTGAACATGATTTTTCTTATGATGCTACCTTTTTTGTTACTAGAGAAGGAAGACATGATTGGTCCAGGTGTCACTGAGAAATTGATAGAGGCAAGAACTATTTCAGAGAGAGAGATTGAGGATAAAAAACGTGCCACAGCTCCTGTTAGAGAATGGGATAAAGAAAAGAAAAGTGAGTAGTTTTGATTTGTACTATTTATACTATTGGCCATTTTAACATGCCAGAAATCTGATAAAGCACTACATGTTGCCACAGAACTTCAATCACAAAATATTTAACCAAAATTACTGGAGCCAAAGATGGTGTTTTATACATCTTCTCACTAGATATGGTGAACTCAGAATAATTAAGAGGCATCAATCATACATTTTAGGTGTTGAGGCTAGTTGGAATTCATGCAGTGATGCTGAAAGAGTGGCAGAATTTGCACCTCCAGACAACTACTTTGACACTGCTGTTCCAAAGAAAAGGGCACGATCTGATCCTCGAGATGAAAGATTAGAAGAATTTGCTCCTCCTCCGTCTTATTACCAACAGTCGTCAGAAAAAAGTTGGAAAAATACTCTTAAAAGTAATAATAAACTGAAGACTCCAAATTCTGAAGAACTTAAGATTAATACAACAAAAATGTGTGCAAATGAGGCCAACCTAAGTAAACCTTCCAGCAGTAAAAACAGCGGAGAAATGCCATTTAAAAAGAAATTGGTTAGGGAAATTACTAGCGAAGCTGTCAGAGATTTGTCTCACATACCTTTACCTCCAACACGAGTAAAAACAAAGGAGTCAGTTGCAGAATCCAAAGTAGAATGTCCAATGCCACCTACACAGGCAACTCCATTATTGAACCCAATTTCACAACAAGAGCAATTACCTAATCCTTTTGTAAGTCAGCAATTGCAGCCTTCACAGGTACATGCAAACATTTCACCCTTTGGACAATATCCAGTGATTAACTCCTATACAGGTTCTACTTTTGGAACAAATAATGGCATGTCAGCCCATTCAAGGCAAAATTGCACTGTTTCTGAACATTCAAGTCATCAGACTCGATATGGGGTTGTGTCTTACATGGAAAACGCCAATAAACAAATGCCTACATATTTGCACGAAACCTCCAAAGTTCCTTCTCAAGTAAGTCACATGAGTGAAGAGGACTATAAGAGACTTGTGAGAAACTTGCCCAGCTCTCTTCCTGCTCCTCCAACCCAAGATCAACCTCTTCCAGTGTACCCGAGCCAAGCAGATCCTTACAGTTGGGATCGATATGAAGCGCCTGCTGCAAAACCTATTAGTGTTGGTATGAAAAAAGCTGTTGATAGGACATCAAGTGCATTCTCAGTGACACTCACAGAAATGCCTTTAGCAGGAGATTCGGAATGCACAAGAGAAGATTCTGGTCAAGAGAAGACAAATAAGAGAAACACAGTTTCTAAAACAAAGTGGAAACATGGTGCTGCTGCTGAAAATGCACGGCAGTCATCTGAATCAGTTATTGGAGAAACTCTCAAATACTTCAGACAGCTGACAGAAAAAAGGTCAAATGACAAAAATTGACTCTTTTCAGGAACTTATCTACCTAAAAAGAAAATGTACTGTTTAAGGAATGCATTTGTATCCACTTAAATTTTTGCAAGAAAATCCTACCCGTCAGATCACGTTCTAATATGAGATTCCCCAGTAACAAGTCACAAAGTCATGTTATTGTATTATTTATTATTTATTAGAAAGCTAATCAGTTCCAGACTCTAAATATGTCAATACAGAGCAAAAGATAAAAGCACTCAAGACCACAACTGGCATACACAGACAGCACATTACATTAACAACATACTCTGAAAGGATAAAGCAATACAAGTAACTATAATCTACAGACATAAAAGTACAATTCAGAATAATATCAATGTACAAGTTCTTTGCTGATTTGTGACACTTAAAGTTTCTTACAGATTATCTGTACAAAAAAAGAGGTTCAGATATTAGGAATAATACTGTCCCAACTTTTATGTACAGTAAATTATTTTTATATACATCTTGTTAAGTTAATAAAAAGGGTATTAACCCAAATAAAATAACATTTTTGTGTTTAATGATAGAATTTGGTTTTGTCTGTGTTGTGAGGAAATGCACAGACAATATCCCACCTGTTATCATACAGTATAACCATTTGAATACAAAGTAGAGGGTGTTATGCATTTCTCCTAATTTCAACAAAAGCTTGTGGTAATGGGGGACTTAACCCTGGAATGCGGGGTATGGATTTTTCAATAGTGAAATGTATTTAAAAGACTACAGTCGTGTATCTCCAATTTATTGAATATCTTGTAGTTAACGTCTTTTTGGAACAAATGAAACTTTCTCATCAGATTGCCAGTCCAAATACGCTCACTATGCAGTACATGGTCTTGTTCTCCCACCTTACAGTGCAACTCCCTGTAACAAAAAGTGGAAAAGCATGAAGGAACTGACAACCATCCTTGGAACAGTTTCTTTAATTCTCCTGCTTAACAATTTGAAGATATTCTTTCTGTTTATCATGTACCTCCGTATGTGTTTGAGCAATAAACCTAAAGGTGGTAAATGGAATAATTTGTCTTTAATTTTCCCACCATTAATAGTTTGGTCTTTTATATTACATCCTTTTCAAAATAATGAGATTTTAAAACTTGGCTTAAGCCAAATAGAAAAATATGTGGTATATGGTATATAAGAATTTAGAACTAGGTCAAGTGATGGTGGGTTGATGATAAAAATTATTTAAGGTATAATTTTTTACTTTTTCTGTAAATGGAATTTATTTTCTGCATTTTATAAACATTTTATAAATGATCATGATATTATTTATTGTGTCAGATAAAGGCTGTTCAGTCTAAGTTAACTACTTGTATAGTGTTAACAACAACAACAACAAAAAAAAAAAAAAATTACTACGTACCATCAGTTGTGTTGTCCCAAAAGCATGAGCTGGCTGTATGTAGTCCTGCTCCATTCTTTTGCATTATCACACAAGTTACTGAAAAATTGTTTCAGTAACATTAAAATATATTAACAGCTGCAATATTATTTAAAAAAAAAAAACTCATCATGAACAAACAATATGAGAAATAATACATCCCCCATAAGGACTTGGAACTTACAATAAACTCACCACAAAATGTTAGAGTATAATGTAATTATATGAAAACAATCCTCACTTGGCAACTATATATGACTATGGACTCTTATCATCCCCTCCTGTTAAGAAGGTGGTCAACTTATTAAGTACTATGAAACCTCTGGGTGATATAAAAGCAAATCGGATGCCATTGTAAGTCAATTTAATTTCCAATACTGATTGCAAGATCATCTAAATATAAATATTATTTGCAAGCTGACGGCCTATGTTCCTAACTGGCACCAATTATCCCTTAAAAATCAATGACCTAGGCAACAAGTAAACTGCAGTCATTGTCTGTTCTGTTCCCCTTTTCATAAGCTGATGCCTTTCAATGACATGTTCTGTTGACTCTCATGTCACAACTTTTATCAGTTGATATTTAAAGGAAAAATAATTCTTAATTTCACACTGCAATGCTTACCAATGTATTTGAAGGGTTTGCCAAGCTTTGTTAACTGGTTCAGACACTGCTCCACCACATTAGATGTCCACTGGTTGACCTTATTATGCTGGTATGCATTGCCTCCTATTACACCTTCCACAGACTAAAAATAAGACCAAAGGCATGTTACTTATCCACATCACATACAAGAGTAAACTGCAGAGAGACACTACAAAATTACACAAGCATTAAGATATTAACAAGCTAAATGGACATTAGAAAGTAGAATGCAAAGTCATAATTATGTTGACATTTAAAAGTTGCAGGTAAATGCATAATAGTTTATTATTGAACTGATGCCACTGCTTATAATTCTTTGTGTTAACTTCACAAGGAAAAATAAGTATCACATAAATTAACTTAAAATTGCATCATTTATGTAAACCAGCAAACAAAAACTTTTGCTTGAATAATATCAACATATTCAACATCTGTCAAATTCCTCACAAGAAAATGAGTTATGTGCTTATTTATGAATATAATTGGAGCCTCATTATGCTCCACATTTTAAAGGGATAACAACTGTCCGTATGATATCCATATTTCACAATAAATACTCTGTAAACAACTCATAGAATAAATATCATAAATTCTATTTTACCACCAAAACAGTGGTTAATGCCATTATCTCTTCAGAGAATATTACAAAAAAACACTTTTTAGTAAAAAAACAGAGACTAATTTTGAATGTCAGAATGGATTCAATAACCATTGGTAAGTATGAGAAAATTTCGTTTATCCCAGGAAAATCCATTTTTGGCCAAAATAAACAGTTATTATCCTTTTAAAGATATGATCCTAAATTTGGCCAACTATGAAATGTAACATAACAAATGTAACAGTTTGATAGCCAAAATTTGGTAAATAAGATGATTATGCTCAAAGAATATCAACTACATTTATTCATGAGCATATATTCAAAATATCAATTGGTCAGAAGAATGAGACCCTTCCAACTGATATAAAAATTAATGCTAAGATTCCTCTTACTATTAAATGTACAAGAACATACAAATGATGCTTGTATAATTAAAAGACCTTTGTCAAAGTTTTGTATGTCTTGGGGCAATCCTATAAAAGCATAAATATCACCATGTCAAATGTATATCTGTGAGACAGAAGAGAGGGAAAAAATGAAAAACTGAACTAATCAGCATGGACCACTGCACTTGAGGGCATATTTGGAAAATGTGCAAACTGACTCATTTCCCCTGAAAGTAAATCAATATGATGTCTGGATTGAGATGTGTAGGGATTATCTACATAGATTCTGTACAAATGAGTGCACATGTGCCTAGAGGTTCATATTAAATATGAAGTCAATATCTATCATATGTAGAAAGAATGGAAAAAAAAATACATAACTACATGTAATTCCATGGAATAAAAGTTCAGCATTGCTTGTTCAGATTATATTAGGAGGATATTGAGAGGAAACAGCATCAAACCCTAAACCAAATAACCAGCTTCNGGTATAATTTTTTACTTTTTCTGTAAATGGAATTTATTTTCTGCATTTTATAAACATTTTATAAATGATCATGATATTATTTATTGTGTCAGATAAAGGCTGTTCAGTCTAAGTTAACTACTTGTATAGTGTTAACAACAACAACAACAAAAAAAAAAAAAAAAATTACTACGTACCATCAGTTGTGTTGTCCCAAAAGCATGAGCTGGCTGTATGTAGTCCTGCTCCATTCTTTTGCATTATCACACAAGTTACTGAAAAATTGTTTCAGTAACATTAAAATATATTAACAGCTGCAATATTATTTAAAAAAAAAAACTCATCATGAACAAACAATATGAGAAATAATACATCCCCCATAAGGACTTGGAACTTACAATAAACTCACCACAAAATGTTAGAGTATAATGTAATTATATGAAAACAATCCTCACTTGGCAACTATATATGACTATGGACTCTTATCATCCCCTCCTGTTAAGAAGGTGGTCAACTTATTAAGTACTATGAAACCTCTGGGTGATATAAAAGCAAATCGGATGCCATTGTAAGTCAATTTAATTTCCAATACTGATTGCAAGATCATCTAAATATAAATATTATTTGCAAGCTGACGGCCTATGTTCCTAACTGGCACCAATTATCCCTTAAAAATCAATGACCTAGGCAACAAGTAAACTGCAGTCATTGTCTGTTCTGTTCCCCTTTTCATAAGCTGATGCCTTTCAATGACATGTTCTGTTGACTCTCATGTCACAACTTTTATCAGTTGATATTTAAAGGAAAAATAATTCTTAATTTCACACTGCAATGCTTACCAATGTATTTGAAGGGTTTGCCAAGCTTTGTTAACTGGTTCAGACACTGCTCCACCACATTAGATGTCCACTGGTTGACCTTATTATGCTGGTATGCATTGCCTCCTATTACACCTTCCACAGACTAAAAATAAGACCAAAGGCATGTTACTAATCCACATCACATAAAAGAGTAAACTGCAGAGAGACACTACAAAATTATACAAGCATTAAGATATTAACAAGCTAAATGGACATTAGAAAGTAGAATGCAAAGTCATAATTATGTTGACATTTAAAAGTTGCAGGTAAATGCATAATAGTTTATTATTGAACTGATGCCACTGCTTATAATTCTTTGTGTTAACTTCACAAGGAAAAATAAGTATCACATAAATTAACTTAAAATTGCATCATTTATGTAAACCAGCAAACAAAAACTTTTGCTTGAATAATATCAACATATTCAACATCTGTCAAATTCCTCACAAGAAAATGAGTTATGTGCTTATTTATGAATATAATTGGAGCCTCATTATGCTCCACATTTTAAAGGGATAACAACTGTCCGTATGATATCCATATTTCACAATAAATACTCTGTAAACAACTCATAGAATAAATATCATAAATTCTATTTTACCACCAAAACAGTGGTTAATGCCATTATCTCTTCAGAGAATATTACAAAAAAACACTTTTTAGTAAAAAAACAGAGACTAATTTTGAATGTCAGAATGGATTCAATAACCATTGGTAAGTATGAGAAAATTTCGTTTATCCCAGGAAAATCCATTTTTGGCCAAAATAAACAGTTATTATCCTTTTAAAGATATGATCCTAAATTTGGCCAACTATGAAATGTAACATAACAAATGTAACAGTTTGATAGCCAAAATTTGGTAAATAAGATGATTATGCTCAAAGAATATCAACTACATTTATTCATGAGCATATATTCAAAATATCAATTGGTCAGAAGAATGAGACCCTTCCAACTGATATAAAAATTAATGCTAAGATTCCTCTTACTATTAAATGTACAAGAACATACAAATGATGCTTGTATAATTAAAAGACCTTTGTCAAAGTTTTGTATGTCTTGGGGCAATCCTATAAAAGCATAAATATCACCATGTCAAATGTATATCTGTGAGACAGAAGAGAGGGAAAAAATGAAAAACTGAACTAATCAGCATGGACCACTGCACTTGAGGGCATATTTGGAAAATGTGCAAACTGACTCATTTCCCCTGAAAGTAAATCAATATGATGTCTGGATTGAGATGTGTAGGGATTATCTACATAGATTCTGTACAAATGAGTGCACATGTGCCTAGAGGTTCATATTAAATATGAAGTCAATATCTATCATATGTAGAAAGAATGGAAAAAAAAATACATAACTACATGTAATTAAATTCCATGGAATAAAAGTTCAGCATTGCTTGTTCAGATTATATTAGGAGGATATTGAGAGGAAACAGCATCAAACCCTAAACCAAATAACCAGCTTCTAAGGATATTAAATATCCAGCTTCTAAGGATATTAATATGCAACTTTGAAAGCTGGAAAATCACCACTGTAAAAGTCATAAAAAATACAAAATTGAACTTATCATGCCAAATGAGATCAGAATTTCACCACAAAGAGGCAAGATGATAACTAGTGCTGTCAGTGGAGATAGGTTTATATTGCAAAATGATGAGGCTGAAAACACATTTCACTGTGAAAAACCATTTCAGCTTTTGGAGTGATAAGGTAAAAATAAAAATTACTCACCTCCTTAATAATATTGCTTATTTCATCCACAATAAATGCAGTCTGGAAGAGATAAAGCATTAAACCTGTAATTTTATGTGTAATTTAACATAACAATAGATAATAAATACTTTTTGTTTTGCTATCAACCCATGTAAATTAAAATTTTTCCAATCCAACCATCATGAAGTAGCCAACATTTTAAACAATTCTTTCTTACACTTAAAATTGGGTACAATCAGAATGAAACAACAATTAATATAGATCATATACTACTATTTTTCTCCTTTTTTCATTCAATTTTATTCAATCAATTTTTTTAAAAATAATTCTCTTGTTGTTGCCAATTAAATTTGGCACTAATAACAAGGGCAACTAATTTTATACAATAATAATATGAAAACACAAGTAACTGTGAATCAACACAAACCATTAATAACAGAGTTGGAGGGTGAGGGGGGTAAAACTTACAGTGAAAAGTGACAAGTTTTAAATATTGTGTCTAGAGTCACATAAAATGTATTTTAATATTAAAATAAAATCAAATGTATTAAAATAAAAGCCATTAATGATTATACAAATTTGGCTTTGGAATAATTAAATAATGGGACCTTATATCATGTAAAGTAAAGAATAATATATAATAAACGTAATTTAGCCTCTTGACAATTATGTAGGTTACAAAGTTAAAAGCCTTGGTTCGAGCTTATACGAAAATTAAATAATGTACAACCTTCAAGAGAGCCAGGCCATTAGTATTACTACTCAATTTTTGCTGCCCAACGCAACGGCAATAGTGCTCAACAAACATCGACAATAATATGCAATTAACGTATTTCGTGTCTTAGCTTACTCCCCACAGATTTTAAACAAACAGTGTCTTTCATTACCTCTTCTGCTGATTGGAGATCATCCATCTTTATAGTATAAAAGTGAAATAAAACACCACTAATGAGAGTCTATCTCCTGCACACCAATTTTCGTTGACAACCACTTCTCGTCTGTTCACGAGAATTTACGAGAGATATATTCGTGGATTTGATCTTGAAAATCTGTTCCAGGATAATTAGATTTTAAAAGTTAATAATATGTTATATTTAATCTTTATGTTATTTTAGATCCAATGAATTATAAATATAATTAGATAAGTTGATAGCACTTGAGATAAATCAATGAAATATTGTTAACAGAAAACAATTTAGGGGATCATTCTGCATGGGGTGCACAGGTGCGAGAGAGTTTTGGTGGGTCGGTTTCCTGAACACTTGGAACTTAATTTTTGAAGTGTTTAACGTCAAGGCAGCATGATAGAAGGAGAGTTGATTGCCCTAGGGGTCGACATTTTGCTGACTTACCTTTTTTATGAATTATACAAAAGCAATACACAATCAGCAAATAAGCTAAAGGTGAGTTCGGTTTCATTCCGTGTTCAACTCCACCTGTCCTAGCTTTAATAATAATGTATACTTGACAGGCCCGTAACCAGCCATTTCAAAAGGGGGATCTTTTTCTGAAAAATGTGGGCCTTTTACCATGAAACCTTCTTAAGCAGGGGGGACTTTTTCCCGGCAAAAGGGGGAGGGGGGTCTTTCGAACCCCCCCCCCCCCGAACCCCGGCCCCTTGTCTTGTTAAGTACCAACTTTTTAGCTGGCCTTGAGCATGTTGTGATATAGCGTTAAAACCTGTTGGTTCTTGGGGTTAGTTGTTGAGTGCCACGCTGGTTCTAGGAAATGAACAACAAAGTTTCGATCAAGGTAATTATGAATTTTAACATTCACTTTCTAAAAACACATGCAGTAGTGGAGAGTTCTCTCCATTTCGTATAATAATTCCTTCTTAGTTTCTCTAGTGTCAAAAGTTAGTGTGATATTGAGAAGACCGAAAACACCATATGAATATATACTTAAAACAGGGCAGCATTTATAGATCATTCAGGAATTTTAAGCACGAGAAGGAAATAATACAAGACCGAGTGAAGTTCTTCTATCTCCGTCCCTGCCCAGATTTAGTCACCCTATTTCCTGGAGCAGGCTATTTCCTTTTAGACTAAATGCCACTTCAAAGGTTTATCTCCCCCCTTTGTGCTGTTGAGCTAATTGACCCTTACAAAGTGGCCCGTGCGCGATTATCCTGAATGTCAATTGACTGTCTACCTTTAAGTTATCAAAGAATATTATTTTAATTATTCGTGAATATTCTGAACAGTCATAAAATACACTTCAAAGGTTAAATATCATGTCTCAAAGGAAGTAAGATATTAGCTTATTTTAACATTATATACATTAGATATACAGCAAAGTATATATGTAAAATGCAAAAGAAAGAATACAGTACCTGTATATGCACTGTACATGTAACAAGCTGGCAGTAATATAGTTACCCAACTTTACTGGTGATGTTGAAAAGGCGTCCAAGCAACATAGAGATGAATCCCTCTTGTTTCTTAGTCCACAACTGTTACAATGGTAAAAACACCCTAGTAATAAATTATAGTGCATATGAAAACATTTTAAAAATTAATTATCAGGTCTGTAACTACCTGTCTTATTAAAGATTATCAGTTTGTAGAAAGAAACTTATCCCTAGTCATTTGACATAGTTTTAATGTGAAATATAGCTTTATTCTACTAACTTGTCCTTGTCCAAACATAAAATCTTGTTTAAATGCATTTGTAGAAAGCACCTCAATGTGAGCTGAACAATGAATTGGTCCAGAAACTTCAGGGTCAAGAAAGTCCACACCTTGCTTATGCATGTATAGAAGGCACGGTGCATGCTACATCCACGCCTCTTCAAAGTCATTACCGTACTGAGGATCAAGGTGTTATTCACAGAATAATAAAGTCTGAACATAGGTCTAAGAAGTCTGGTGGTGGATTTTGGTATGTATGAATTGAGAAAGAAGTTCAATCATTGTAAACAAGAAAATAAAAGTAATCTTGCTCCTCCATCTCATAAATCTCATAAGATCTCATAAATTTCCATAAAATAGGCTTGTTATTTGTATATTAAAGGTTAATTTTGATATATTAAACATTTTCAACATGTGTCCAATAATACAAGTTGAATAAATGTCATATTATGTGCTAATTACATGTAAAATAAAATGATCTTGCTAAGAGTGGTTTTATGGTTATATTTGTTGTTGTGAGTCTGTGCCTAGAATATCTATTTGAAGTTACATGTTTGCAGCAAATGTTTCCTTCACACATTACCCTACATTCCAGGGCAGATGATGTGAAGACAATAATTGATCATACCTATGATGTCCCAATGTTCATTAAAAATCCTGAGATTGCAATGAGTCCAGAGATGCTTGTAATATCACCACTGGAAGCCAACTACCTTCAAGAAAGCTTCTACACTACGTATGATAAGTTTGTGCCTAATGAATCTGGAGCTTTGTCTAAGCTCATTGATCGTTGGTGGGGTGACACTGTGAAAGGATACCAAGAAACTGAACAAATGTTAAAGATTGGGACCCATCTTCTTGGAGTGGGAGAAATATGTTTAGAAGATGGCAAATTGAAACTTAAACCACCCCGTGTACAAGGAGCTAAGTACATTTTGTCAACTCTAGGTAAAAATGAGATCATTAAACGACTTGAAAAAAGAGGAACCATTTTTAAAGTGATCACAGGATTGTGTAGTGCAGTGGGACTAGCTCTTCTCATTTTTTATCTAAGAAAGAAATACAAACAGTGGCTCGAAAGCCAGGAGTATGAAGAAATAAGGCGTGCCAGACAGACATCTACAACCACAAGACAAAGGGATAATGGGGACGATGATGGTTCTGCTCCTGACAGTCAACTCTGTGTAGTTTGTCTTTCTAACCCTAGAGAGCTAGTGCTTCTAGAATGTGGACACATTTGTCTATGCGCAGACTGTGCTGAACAACTGCCACGCCCGAGGAAGTGCCCAGTATGCAGACAAACTATTACAAGAATTATTCCTACATTTATTTCATAGATCTTGGCATTTGTTGCACACAGCAGTTTTCTTTTATTTATTTATTTTATTATTATTATTTTTTGATACTTAATTGAATTCATCTGGTGAGACTTTTGTCTTCTTTTATTTATTTAATTTATTTAAAGCTAAAATCTTAGTTTCCAGTACATTCTGTGACTTTATCTCTCAGCAAGCCTTTGCCATATCTGTATATCCCTAATACCTCTAAGGTGCATAAAATCTGTGCTGTTGTGCCTTGAACATAACATGCCCCTTTTAAGATATTGGTCAGTTTACGTCAATCAGTAACTTAACTACCCATACCACTTTACATGCTTATTCATATTTTAGGGTCTGTCCCTTCCCTGCTTTGGTCACTTGGTGGGTGTTTGTAAGAGGAGGGATTGATTCCCTATGCATGGCCTTTTCAGTTATCTGCACTAAAATCAGGAAATTTGAACACTTCCTTGCTTCACAATCCAGAATATTTTCCCTCACTTTATGGGATGTTATTGATTGTGGAAAAAAGAACCATTTATATGTTGAACTGCTGACAAAAACTCACAATCTCTCAGCTGATTAAATCTTTCAGATGATAAGAATGCTTAAATACACTGATCATTTTACAAATGAAAGTCCTACTAACAGTCTTGACATGGCTTCTTGTTCAGGTGCAAATGTCATCAGTGATTGCATATAGGAGGTACACGTATGTTAAAGTCAGTCTTTTGATGAAGTGGACTTATGAGTTGAATTGAAACTGCTGCAATGAATGAAAGACAGAAGCTTTGCTTTTACGATTTCTTGCATTATTACAATTTAAGTTTATCATATTTTTGGGTGTTTTGTACTATGGCAATGGCCTTATTTTATTTTTCCTCATAATCACTCACAACTCCAATTTGAATACAAGCAGTAAATGGTTTTAATTTTATACATGTAGATCAAAATTAAAAAAAAAAATGGATTCATGATGGCAAAGATTAATGTATAATGTCTGCTACTCAGATATGTTAATTAAACATGTTTAACATGCATGCAATATTGTTTTTATTTTAAGCCTGATCATTGTGGAAAAAAAAAAAATAAATAAATAAATAAATAAATAATGTTCTGGTATTCTGTTAGAATATACTCCCGGTAGCTGATGTAAAACAGTGGCTTAAAGTTTACTTCATTAAGATTATTTAAACAAACCAAAACTTTAATTTGCTGGGAAATTAAAGTATTGGTACCAGTACATGCACTTGCCCCCACCCTCTATTATCTGTAATGTACCTGGAATTTCTTACCCTAGAAATCAATTGGTTTTGAGTTGGGGTTTGTTGTTTAATAAATGCTAATTAATTGGTTTATGTTATGTTATTTATACTTTTTCAAGCTTTGACATCCCTGACATTGACAATTATGTTGTCCGTTGCAAAAAGCTATCCGCCCCCCCCCCCCCTCCCTCAACCTTCTCCGTCCCCGCTTTCCGTTCGAATAATCTCGTGAGATAAGCACGAGAACAAGATGGCTGCGCCCAGTATGAAGTTGGTACAGAAGGTGGCACTCATCACAGGTAATAAAATGACACCACTAAATAAACGTTTGTTATTCTATGTAAGAGTGTTTTCATAGTTAATGATCACTTTAAGGGATGTAAAACACTGCATAACACCCTTCTGACCGCTTGAAAAACGATTTTAGTCTATTCTCGCCATCGGTCGCAGGAAATCGTCCTGACCTTGGAGTTGCATTAATTAACTCTCAAAGTGTTGGTGGGGTCCAGGTGATTTCGATAGTCTGCCAAGCCGTGTCCCCACTTCTTGGTCATCGAGGGTTTGCGAGCGTAATAACTTTCGCCACCAGTGACAATCTTAAAAGTGGTATCATTATTTAATATGTCAATTCTTAGCAAGCCGCTCACATTCACGGACCCGTTAAAGGTAAGCATATTGTAACTCGGCATGCACAGTAGCGTCTGGTTGCATTTCTTTTGAGGAATGTTTTACTTGATAGCAGAGAGCTGTGTCACGACATTAAAAAAACTAGGGCAATAACAATAATAGTGATAAACTGTTGAAAAAGAAAAAAAAAGCTACCAGTAGATTAGATACATGTATGTTATAAAACATTCCTTTGGCATAAGAGTTGCAAATCAAATGGATTAAAGTCATAATAACTCTTTGTTTTGGCCAAAAATTGGATTTTCCTGGAAAAAAGGGCAATTTTCCCGTACTTACCAATTGTCAACGACCCCATTCCTGCATTCAAAGTTAATCCAGGTTTTTTTTTCCTAAACGTACGGTGTTTTGTTAAAATCTCTTAAGAGATTTTAACTGACGGAGCCCTCTCTGACACTGCACAGTCACTGGTGACCTACTTAAAACCGCGGGAAAAGCAGACAACAACAACAACAACACTATATAACAATAATATAAGATTCATGAGATATATTCGACTTTTTGTTAAAAATGCATTTATATCCACAATGTGTGCCATTCTGGGCTTTTCGTTATCCGACGCACTGTACATAAACTCGCAACTTACGTCTGCGTCTGCATCAACGCGTTTCGCACCCTGTTATTTTGGTCTCGAATGAACACGAGAATCCGCGTGACACCCTTACGTCATTAGCAACAGATGCCTTGACGACCGGGAAGAAAGGCAACGAAAGCCCTATTGCCAAGCACAGATTTTAGTTTTACTACAATAACGGCCGTTTTAGTGGTAAAATACAATAGAATATATTTCCATGCTTTATTTACAATGTATTTCTTGCGGAATTTTGAATCTCAAAGGAAGAGTTATTGCTTTAAACTACCAGTCTGCTTTTTAAATGCAGAATCACTAAGTGACTTTGATAAAATGATGATTTAGCCAGAAAACTTGTTTAACTTGTCAGAAACCATAAAGTGCATAGGTTAAAGTACCCCCCCCCCCCCCCCCCCACATACACACACACAACCAGCCCCACCCCCTCTTTCCCCCCAATTATAGCAGCAATTGTTGCAATTTTGGTTGGCCTGTTTCAAAATGTCCTGAGTAGGCTGGGCGGCCATCAAAATAAGAGCCAACACGTCAGGAAATGACATACTGAGTTCAGTGTATCACCCTACCAGAAATGGTAAAAGTCTGTCAGGGATATCCTATGACAACTCTTTTCACAGAAAAATCTTTTATACACATACTCTCACAGGTCTGGTCAAAAAAATATTTATATTATATTGACATTTAAAAGGGTGTTAATTATTACTAATTTAAAAAATGAATTTTTCTCGCTTGTCCTCTACAGTGCATGCACTGCGCATCTGGTAATTTGCTTTTGAGTCTACTGCAGTAGTCAATCTACCGAAAAGCTGGAGTTGATATACAGTAAGCACTAACCCCTTATACCAGTGCAGCATTCTCTTGTTATCATTGTCCATATGCTTCGATCTATACTAGCAGTGACCTACATTTTAGTACCAAAGTGCTTAAACATTTGTATGATAAGATTAATGTTACAGTACACGCATGTACTATCAGCATTAAGGAGTTTGCAACAAAATCCAAAATGTCAGGAATGCATGAAAAATTTCAACGGAAAGTAGTGCTTGTCACTGGTTTGTATATTAAACACATTAATTATATATGAATAGACCAAAAAAGGAGGAGATTGTTTAAGAAGTTAATGAACATTATCTCTGATTGGTCAATTTCAGGAGCCAGTTCTGGGATTGGTGCTGCCACAGCTATCTTGTTTTCGCGTCTTGGAGCTAGTTTGGCCATAACTGGAAGACAAGAAGACAACTTGAAAAAAACTGCAGAGCAGTGTGAACAAACGGGATCAACCAAGGTCTTTGCTTTCTATTAATATATATCTGAAATGAAAATTACAAGATCATTGGCAGACAGATATAATTGCAGAAAATTTCTATTCATATAGCCATATCGCAATCCACACCTCTCATTCATCAGCCTACTGGCTACTTGAAGTAGTGAAGCCCTGAAACTAATAATTAACCCAAGTCATTATGAAATAAAATCTTTTGATATTGGAAAATGTGTCTAAAACAATTATTAAGATTGGTACTTGTCCGATCAACTTTTAGCTTTCATAAATAATTTTTTTTCTAGTCTGATGCTATATCCACAAGACAGTTGCCTTGGTCCAGTTGCTAACATCAACATCATTTTTTATCTGAAGACATGCTGAAAACTTTTCAGAGTGGCTGGACATTTGGACCGGCAGTAGTAAAAACATTTGCCGGACCAAATGGATTTTTGTCGGTTACCAGTACGATTAGGTAGCTTACTTTGTTTGTGAATGTGATCTGAAATGGAAAGGAAAAAACGCTTTGGGTTTTATATAATTTTATTAGGGAAGTATGTCAAATGATGACTCTAAATTTAAAAGTGTGGCTCTTAAAATTCTTGTCAGTCCTTTGGACCGACCACCTCCAATTTTTCACCGGTCCAGAAAAATTTTCCCAGTCATGACTGATTGGACTGACAGTTTCAGCATGTCTGTCTGTATCTGTGAAAATATTTGAACCAATTTGTCAATTTAGTATGTAGTATTAAACAATTGTATTTGTTTCGCTTTGTTTCAGTTATTGTGAAATTATTAAAAGACTAACTGGCTATAAACTGTTAAAGAAAAGAAATATTCTGTAAGCAGTACAGTGAAGATTATTGAAATTTTTTTCATTTTTCTCTATCACAGCCACTTCTGATTGTTGCTGATCTTGCAAAAGAAGATGATACCAAAAACGTGATCAAGAAGACAATTGAACACTTTGGCAAACTCGATGTCTTAGTAAGTAATTGAATCCTCTTTTTTAACTTTATATGATGCAACGGTAATTAAAGCAGTCAATTTCGTGAATATTTGAGTGAAATGTTCGAGCGAAATGTATATTTGTACCACCAGAGTAGGTGTTGGCAGTACACATAGTTTAATTCCTGACCCATCTTGTCTGCCAGATCTGCCGCCATCTCACCATTACCATTTTTCCTCCTAGACTAGTCTAGAGCCTGCATACCCCATCTCTTAGATTTAGGTCACATATAATCTCAACTCGATCCTTGTAAATTTGGGCTATGTCAATGCACAGGTCTAGGTGTGGCATTTTTCAGAAACTTAACGGACCTAACCTATAATATTATGGGCTGTTGCTACACTTACAGTCATCTTTCAGCCTCGTGAGTTTGGGATCAATTGGTGCATTTTCACCTGAGAAGCAGCCATTAGATGCCAAAACTGAAAACTCTCTCTAATTCTGGAACCATAAATGCTAGAGACCTCTTGTTTTTTGCATTTTATAGTACTTGGCAAACACAAGACTGAATGTGGTGTCCGTTTTTTTTTTGTTTTCTATATGGTTAAAGAGTTGTGCTATATCAAAGAGTCCAACATTATTCAGTGGTAGTTACTGTTGAACTTGAATAGGAAGTCATATACTAGCAATCTAACTGTGACCTTGAAATTGACCTTTGACCTACTTTTCACCATGAATCGCCTCTCTGCATGATCCCCTAGTTTCTTTGGTTATTATTTTACTTGAAACATTTATATGCAGGTGAACAATGCTGGCATTCTTGAGATAGGTTCAATTGAGACCACTTCCTTAGAACAGTATGACAGGGTTTTCAACATTAATGTAAGGTAAGTAGAATAAGATTTAAGAGCTAGAGCATATTAAGACAGTAGATTTAACATTTTCAATATGACACACACTGTTTAATAGATGTATTTTATAATGTTACAATACTGTATATCTGCACAGGTCTGTCTATCACTTGACGATGCTAGCAGTACCACATCTCATTGAGAGCAAAGGATGTGTAGTCAATGTGTCCAGTGTCAATGGGATTAGATCAGTAAGTTGCATGATTTTGCATCCATAATATTTGTGTACTTTGAAATAATGTCAGTATTTAGAAATGCACATTTAATCTGATATAAATCAAATCTTGGTAAGATCTCCTTCCATTCCGGCCCCTACTCCATTACCAGTTTTGAATAGAGAGTAGATAGGGGAACTGGTAGTTTGACTGGTACGAACTCATTATCTAGACCTAATTTTAACATTTAGATGAAGTGTTATTAAACAACTGAGCTCTTTTCTGTCTTTTAATTGCAATGTGCAGAATGCTATGTTTTTGTTGCAGTAACACTTTTTCAGTGCAAGATAGGAAAGTTAAAAGTCTTCGTTTCTTTAAGTTTGCAGGTGTTTTGGCATATAACATGTCCAAGAGTGCCATTGACCAGTTTACAAGATGCACAGCACTAGGTAAGTATGCACTAGGTAAATGTTTGCTTTAAAGATTAGTTTAAGACTTCTACAAAGACTTATACTTTTCTAAATGATTGAAATTAACAGAGTACTTGTAAAGCTTGACAGTGTCTCCACGCAAAAATTGCTATTTTTTCAGAATTGGCTCCAAAACAGGTTAGAGTTAACAGTGTCAAGTAAGTGATTTTCAGTCCTTGCTTTACAAAGAAAGATATGTTATGTATACAAAAAGAAAAAAACACTAAGCTATTGGATAAAATAAATGTTAAATATATTTCACAATGTTAAATATATCACACAATGATAATTTTTGGCCGCATTCACATCGCGAAAAGCCGAGGCTCTACAAAGCCGAGAACTAAATATGGCTAACGTATACTGAACAAAAATATAAACACACGAAAGAATATGTAGATTTATTTTCATATATGGAACTAGAGTATATAGCCAAAAATAACAGCATATTTTTCTCAACAAATAGACATCACTTTGAGAGCATTAGGGGAAGTTTAAATGCATAGTCCAAGAGTTAGGGCATCAAATACACCATGGGGGTCAACATCCTGAGTTCTCAGACACCATTAAATTTGTGCAGAGCAGTACACCAGCGGCGCAGGGACATCACTAAGTTGTCAATAGAGGCCTAAGGGATATTATCCCATTCCTCCTGGAGTGCTTCTTGCAGTTGGCGAACATTTTCGAGAGCTGGAACATAATGGCTGAAAACTCTGATCCAGAACATTCCACAGGTGTTTGTTGGGCGACATGGTGCATGAGGGTGGTTCCTAATGCTACCAGTGTCTCTGAAGCGTGTTCCCAGACGGCTGACAGTGGAATGATGCACATTCAGGCATGCTGCAACTTCTGTTACTGACAAGCCAGCATTGAGCATGCTGATGGCATGCTCCCTCATGGTTCCAGACATCTGTGGCATGTTGACAAGTGGCAGAAATACACATTTTGGTGTGTCCTTTTTATTTCCTAGACGGTAGAGAGTGTCCGAGTATTGGTCTTGCAGATTGACCTCTACTCCGTCATGCTCCATTAGTCTTATGGGTGTAAAAACTGAACCTTTGAGTATACTCACGGGGAGCGGCCAAGTGAAACCAGACCACTATAATTGATCAAAACAAATCCATCAGTTCACAAATNACCTCAGATACCTCAACAGGCAGCCCCAGCAGGCCAGCCACAGCAGCAGCCACAGCAGCAGCAACAGCAGCAGCAACAGCAGCAACATCAGCCAGTGGTAATTTCACTACCCCAGCATATGGCACCATTCCCTTTCAGAGGGGATGAAGCTGAGAATGCGAGGGAGTGGGTTTGTAGATATGAAGAATACTGCAGTCTAATGCACTATGATAATCAAATGAAACTGTCGCATTTTGTGTACTTACTAATGGACAATGCAAAAACGTGGTATTCCACACTAAGCAATGAGACAAAAAGTGACTTTGAGGCCCTAAAAGGCCAGTTTTTAAGTAGATATGGGCCTAGCCCAGCATCAGTGAGGGCAAAAACAGCTACCTTGTTTACTTGTCAACAAGGGGACACTAAAATTAGGGACTATATTGCAAGAATGACAAAAATGGGTCGAGAAGTTGGGCTCCCAGATCAACATATAGTAGCAGCAGTGGTCAATGGGTTACATCCAACAATAAGAACAGCAATAATAATGAAAAATCCACAAAACTTACGAGAATTAGAAGAAGCAGCTACTTTGGCTGAAACTGCTTCATTGGGAATTGAGAAGCCCAATGTCCCAACAGTTGCACAAACTGAGGCAGCTAATCTTACCTCAGTCCTTTCACAGGTTACACAAATGATGGGTCAGCTAGGGACCCTGATTGACAAAATGGCTGATAGGCCAAGTGTACAAACTGTTAGTACTGAAAGTAATCGTAGAGTGTCTTTTCAGCCTGCAGACAGACAGAGGCTAAGAAGTAGCAGTAGGGAAAGAGAGAGAGGGAGAGAAAATGGGAGAGAAAGGAAACACCTGTGCCAATCATGCGGTAAGTGGACTTTTCATGCTCCATTTCAATGTTTTGCACGTGACAAAAATTGTTATAAATGTGGGCAAATTGGGCATTTGGCAGTAATCTGCAAAAATATTCAACAATAGGGGTACGCGCACAATATGACTGAAAATGGTAGAATTCCCTGTTTGGACACTATTTATTTGGCTGATCGTACTGACCACAATTTATTGCAAATTAAAATAGGTTCCCTTTATCTAAAGGCAATGGTAGATACTGGCGCTAGCATTTCTTGCATTTCTGAAAACATTTTACGGCAACTCCCAAAACAAAAATTTGAAATCCAACAGTCTGACCTATCGGTTGTTAGTGGTGTAGGTGGAGAGCTTCACACTCTAAAAGGGCAAGTGGTGATAAAAATTCAAATTGGTCAAAAATTCTTCTCACAAAAATTTTACATCTTTCAAAATCTTCCAAGAAATATAATACTAGGCATGGACTTTCTAAAACAAAATGGTGCTAAATTTGATGTTAAAAATGAAATAATAACCTTTGAAAATGATGAGACCACAGAGACAAACAAAGCCGATTATACTGGCCTAGCGCGAGCAAAAGAACGTGTCATAGTTAATCCCAGACAAGAATCCTTAGTTCCCATCAAGGTTTCCGGTGCAAATAAATCAAAAATTCAAAACTTACTATTAGAATCCACTGATGATGACATCTTGGTTGCTAGATGTGTGGTCAAAACAACTAATGGCTGTACAGCGTGTAGAATCTACAACCCCTCAGACAAACCTCTATTTGTACCTCAGGACAAAATTTTGGCCAAAGCATATCCGATAGATGACAAAAACCTTATCCCATTCAATAATCCAACCAATGTGCATTCAGTAAACTCAACAGAATCATTTTCGTCCGATAGTCCTAAAGCAGATCCGCAATTTGTAAAACTTGGCCAGGAAACAGGAGTTGACCTTAGTGACGCTGACTTGACGGACATTCAGAAACAACAGTTGTTGGCTTTGATTGGAAAATATAGGGATATTTTTGCTTCAAAATTGTCTGAGCTAGGTGAGGCAAAAGTCAAAGGTCACATCATTGACACAGGAGATGCCCCTCCCCAACGTCAACGACACTACAGACAGACCCCTGCACAGAAAATTGAAGTGGAACGACAGACTGATGACATGTTAGCGAATGACATTATTGAAGAATCTGACAGTGAGTGGGCAAGTCCGGTAGTTTTGGTCAAAAAGAAAGATGGCTCCATGAGATTTGCAATAGATTACAGACGGCTTAACAAAGTGACAAAACCTATACACTTTCCCCTACCCCGACTGACAGACATACTTGACGTTCTCTCTGAATCTCAGGCCAAGTATTTCAGCTCACTAGACCTTTTCAGTGGTTACTGGCAGCTACCCTTGGACGAACAGACTAGACACAAAACTGCTTTTGTCACACATCACGGCCACTTTCAATTCAAACGTCTTCCCTTCGGCATGCGCAACGCGAGTTCGGTCTATCAGGCGACAATGGCACGTGTGCTCAAAGATCTAAATTGGCGAGTAGCGGCTTGTTATATTGATGATGTGCTGATTTTTTCCAAAACCTTTGAAGACCACTTAAATCACCTGGAATTAGTGTTCCAAAGATTTCAAAATTACAACCTTTCTATCAAATCAACCAAATGTCATTTGGCCACCAAACAAGTCTCCTTTTTGGGTCACATTATTTCAAAAGATGGTGTTTCGGTCGACATGTCAAAAATAGAAGCAGTCAAGAAAATTGCCAGACCCAAAACACGTACGCAAATGCGTAGCTTTTTAGGCATGTGTAATTATTACAGGCGTTTTGTTGAAAATTATGCAAAGATTGCATCTCCACTTTTTGCGTTAACTAAAAAGGGAATCAAATTTGAATGGACTGAAAAATGTGAAAAATCTTTCAATGAACTGAAAACTGCCTTGTCAACTGCCCCGATACTTGCCTTCCCTGACATGTCTAAGGATTTCAGACTGACGACTGACGCCTCTGACTTTGCAATAGGTTACATGTTAAGTCAATTAGGGGAAGATGGTCGAGAACATGCTATTGCCTATGGTTCGCGGACATTGCGAGAGGCAGAGCGCAATTATGGAGTCACTGAAAAAGAGTGTCTAGCCTTGATTGAGGGCATCAAGGAGTATCGACAATTTTTGCAACATCGTCACTTTGACATTTTTACAGATCACATGCCCTTACGTTGGCTTGAGTCCAAAAATTCGGCAAATCAAAAATTGCATAGATGGAGTTTGGAAGTACAAGGTTTTGAATTTACTGTGTTGTATAAAAAGGGAAGTCTCAACCCTGTTGACTGTTTATCTAGGCAAGGAGAAAGTGACACCACAGATGACAAAACTGACCAACTGCATGACGATGTAAATGTCATAGACAAAATCAATGACAATGACCTAGGTAAAAAGATTGAAGTCACAAAATTCATCTATAAACAACCACAACCTCCCATTGTAGTGGCCAGTGTCTCCAAACCTGTCTCCCATTCATTCCCTAATGATGTCAAACTGAACAACCTTTCCAAAATGCAACGCTCATCTAAAGATCTTGTTTCCATCATCCAAAAACTTGAAAAACCCACAGAAGACAATAGTAAAGATCAAAACAACATCCAAAAATTCTTCTGTCTAAAGGATGGCATTTTGTATAGAAAACATCAGTGCACCAGAAAGCAAAAGGCGGGTGATAACACGGAAATTGAACAGCTAGTGGTCCCTAAACAGTACAGAAAAAGAGTTCTTAGGGCATACCATGATTCTAGGGTAGGTGCCTGTCATCCTGGATTTCACAAATGCTTAGAAAAACTTAGGTTGAAATACTACTGGCCCAAAATGCCTAGGGATGTGAAACGTTATGTCAAGTCCTGTGAAGTTTGCCAAAGAGTAAAAAGAAGCTATCAAATTCAAACAGCACCCTTGCAACCCCTACCCATCAAAGACGTCTTTAGCACATGGCACCTTGACATTTTAGGCCCAATTACCCCCTCAAAATCTGGTCATAGATACATTCTTTTGGCAGTAGATTCATTTTCACGATGGCCAGAAGCATTTGCACTCAAAACCCAAGAAGCTAAAGAAATAGCTGAAGTTTTATACTCCCAAATTTTCACCAGATATGGTGCTCCTTCCGAAATTATTACTGACAGAGGCCAGAATTTCAGATCAAAATTAGTCCAGGCCATCTGTGATATTTTTGATGTGGAAAAACATTACACGGCCAGTTACCACCCTCAGACCAATGCAGTCTGTGAAAGGTTCAATGGATATATTTGGCAATCCCTACGAGCTCTTTGCAAAAAGGACCAATCAGACTGGTCAGATCACATTGAATCAATACTCATGGCTTACAGAAGTTCTCCATCTGAAGGTACAGGTTACACACCATTTTTTCTTCTATTTGGCAAAGAAATGACCACACCCCTGGACAATGAATTACTCCCCACCAATAACCTCCCCAAAACAACAGAAGAATACATTGCGCAGAAACTAGAATCAATAAATAAGGGTAGGAAAGCAGCAGCAGAAATCAAACTGAATTCCCAGTACAAAAATATGAAATACCACAACAAAAAGGCCAAACAACCCCAATATGCACTTTGTGATATGGTTTACCTGAAAAATGAGAGAACTCCCGTTGGACTAACACCCAAACTGTCTGAAAAATATAAGGGACCCTACTATATTGTAGAAGTACTCGGAAATGCAACATACAGACTTAGAGACAAAGCAACCAACAAAATTCTAAAACATCCTGTAAATGCCAACCGCCTCAAGCCGTATACAGACCCCATCCTACGTACTAGGTTTGAGACAGAACTTGAAACGAATGGTGAAGAAAGCAATAGGACAGAACAAATACAACACAATGTGACCTTCAAAGACAGGCAAAATGAACAGGACAATAACAAGAACAATAATACCAAACAGTTAAGCCCCACAAAAAGTCGCTATGAGCAGGCCGACAAAATTCTGAAAGCAACCAACTCAAAAGGCCAAAGATGGTACAGAATTAAGTGGAAAGATAAGAAAAAGAAATCTAGTTGGGTAATAGCAGAGTTAGTGCCACAGATTCTCATATCCGAATTTCACGCGAACAAAACAATGAAGGGAAGGGCAAGGCGTAAGAGATTAGTTGTTCATAAGTAAGCAAGGAGTTTACATGGTGTTCCCGTTTCATTGATAGTCAGTAGGTTGTTTGACCTGTAATGCTAATTAGTGATATGAATAGTCTTTTTTTTTTAACTGGGATCAGATAGTAACTTCCAATGCATAAAGCAGGCATGGCCTTAGGATGAACTACAAGTTCTGGCTTAACTGGTGTGGTCTCTTTTCTTAAATCTTTTCTTTTGGGCTAGTATTCTGCCTAGCTGGTTCTAGAGTAGAAGATGGTCAAATGCGATCGCAATTAAGCTAACTTCCCCTCTTTTTCCCCACTCAGAGATCATCACCAGTGACATCAAGATCTTGGTATTAGTCCTAGCCTTTGCCATTGCTGTGCCCGTTGCCGCCGCAGAAGATGTAAGGTTGAATTACGGAATAAGTTTAAAGGAGAAAGGGACTGTAAAACTGATAAGTGACTATTGGCTTCACTCGATGACGGTTGATGTGCCAGTTATACCGGCAAGGTCATCGTACCAGCATTCGTGCAAGGGCCGAATGTTGGAAGAGAATTGTATTCTGGCAGAAAGGGCGATTGCAGAAGGGAAAAGAATGTACAGTCAGTCTGCCTCAGAGTTGAGGACCCTTCATTATCAAATTAGGAAAATTTTTGATGGCCCTGGCAAGAATAACAGATTGAAAAGATCAGTTCTCCCTATTGTAGGCAACGTGGCAAATTCTTTGTTTGGAGTTGCGACTGAGAGTCAGTTAAATAAGGTGATCAGTCATGTGAACAAATTGTATTTTAGGCAACAAAAAGCACTCACCACTTTCACAAATTTTTCTAAACAATTCAATTCAATTTTTCATGGGCAAAATGATAGGCTTAATAACATGGTCAAAGAAATTGAGGCCAACCATAATTTAAATATTTTAATGGGTGGAGACCTTAGAGAAATTGAAAATGATATGGAATTCAACCTAAAACTGCTTACAAAATTGATGCATCTTAGCTCCACAACAGCCAAATTAAATAATGAAATTAAAAATACCATCATAGGTATAAATGACTTGGCACATGGCCGCTATCCCCAGTATTGTTTCCACCGCACACTCTGGAAAAATCACTGCAACAAATACAGACAACACTGCAAACACATATGAAAAATTTTGAGATTCACACAGATTTAAAATTCTACTACAAACATGCTAAATTTGCAACTAACAGAGTCAACAATTCTATCATAATAACACTGAAAATCCCGATCCTTTCATCATCAGCTTCATACCAAATTCTAAAAACAGAAACATTTAAAATACCAATAAACACAACCAGCAACCATTCATCAATATTAACAAGCGTTCCAAAATATTTCGGAAAACCAAATTCAAACAAAACAGCAATCACTTTCGATGAAAACGTCATTAATGAGTGTGCAGGTGAAAACGAAAAATTGTGTGAAGTCTCTAATTTAAAACCTACAAGTGACCACAAGTGCCTCCAAGCAATAATGCTTGACATCAAACATGACATCAAACAATTTTGCGAATTCACATTTTTGCCCAATAGTATCAAGCCGTCAATTAAAAGACTGGGTAAAAACACCATTTTAGTGTACAAAATTTACAACCTCACGTTCGAATGCAAGGAAAACTCCACCAAAACAGGCTGTGATTTTTGCATGATGAAAGTCCCATGCAACTGTGCAGTCCAACATTCAACTATCTACTTGCCTCCAGAACAAATTTGCACAGAAAATGACAAGGTAGAAATCCTCCACCCAATTAATCTTGCGGTCCTGCAACATTTTTCAGATTCCAAAATTTTTCTTCAATTTTAGGCCATTCCCTATTTTCAGAACCCCCAACTTTAGATATCCCAGAACTAAAATTATACACAACAAACTTTTCAAAATTTTTGACCAAAGATAGGCAAATTAAAATTAAACTGGACAAGGCCATGGAGGCAACAAAAAAGGGGCAAACAATTTTCCAATCATTAGCAGAACCTCTGCTATCTGGAGAACTAAAATTACCAGATTCAGAATTCAACCTTAAAGAATTATTGTCGTATGTTGCTTTGGGTATTGCAAGTTTTGGCATAATATTCTCCTTTGGGCTAGCCTACAAACTTAAAGTTCTGTCCACCACCCTACTAGCCATAGGTCATGCTCGAGCGAATCCAGCACCCATATTCAGATACACGACATGCATAACCACCACATCGCCAACAACAGAATATTTTAATTTGTACAAAGTGCTTACACACGAAATTGCCACTCCAATTTACTTTATGATAATCTTCTTAATGTTAATTTTTGTTGCAATAATTGTAAAATGCAGAAAGAAAGCCCAAAACCACCTTGCTTTGGAGGTAACGGGAGACAGCAAGAGTGTCTTAGTCCCTTTGACCAAAATTACAGCATGTCCAAACGAACTAACAATAGAGGGTTCACCATTGATAAAAAACATCAGCTTTGTCACCGGGCTAACTCCGAAAATTATAATTGAATGGGGAAATGTCAACTTGTATTCAGGACATGGCCAAAATAATGTGCAAATCTTGTTGCCCATCAATAGGAATATTTCGTGGTTAAAATATTGGAAGTTAAACAAATTAACAAATGGGGATTTTGACGTGAATATGGTGGTAATACACCACAATAGGTTATTCTATCCAAGATAGTTATATTGTGCAGCAATGTTAACGAAATGAACATTCAGTTACGTGCAAAACGAAATTCAAAGCATGACAAGTCCACTCACCACATAGGCCGGTGATGTGTGCAAGAATGTAGACTTTACAGATTTTTAATATTAATGTTAATTTAAATACACACATAAGTATATTATATATATTATATATTATATATATAGACATTCATAGTTGTACTTGTATTAATTTCTACTATATTTAAAGGATATTAATTGAGTTTTTCACATAGACCTATGAAGCAAATTGCCATTTTCTTTCTTGACATCATGTAACAATGTATATATAATTGTTAGTTTAGAATAAGTTGATGTTTGTTTGCATACCTTTAAATATTATAGCACATAATTGTATTATAAATAGCATGATTTATTTGTAGAAAATTTGAGGCACAAATTTTATTGGGTAAGGGAGATGTATCACAGTTATTTAGCATGATTTATTTCCTGATTATTTGACATTTATATTTAAAAAAAAAAAAAAAAAAAAGAAACACTGCAGCCAGTGGGCCATTTGATTACAGCTGAATCTTCCTTCCTGTATATATCTTTAATTAACCTTCACCTTGACAATGGACAGCATATCTTGTGACTTATCTGATGTAAGGAAACCAGGAGTTATCTAAATAGCCCAGTGAAACTTTCTTTATTGTTGTGGATGAAACCAGTTTTAGAAAATAATTACTATGTCCTATTTTAGAAAATAATTACTATGTCCTACCATACCTGTGTTTAATTGAGACTATGTAAATCTTTGTATATCTACCTCACCTTTGTTTAATAGAGACGGAAAATTACTATGTAGCCGCCTTCGTCTACATTTTATGGTTTATATCCTGCCTGTATCTCTGTATTATGTAAACTGTACGAATTATCTATTAAATTAAGTAGATGCTGCTGAGTGACAGGTAACCTGACCAATAGTAACCAGGAATGTCCTCAGTCAGTCATCCCCCCTCCCAAGGGATTTAAAAATTAGCAATGTTGTGAAGAAGTCAGTACAGGGTTAGCACTGGAGCAGGAAGGTTGTCATCTATATTGTAAGATTAAGGCTCCTATGTACACTTATGCTAACAGAAATAAACCTGTATTATAACTGAAGTCGTGAGTTTGTTGAGTGGAGACATATCAGATCCCCAGCATATGGTCAGAGCCTTCCCCTGGACCATCATAGTATTGTGAAAATCTTTATAAAGTCTTTGCAAATCTTTATTATTTTAATGATGATTTCAGTCCAGGTGTTATTATAACAGAACTCCAGAAGAGAGGTGGAATGGGAGAGGAAGCCTATCAAGTGGTACAGTTCTATTTTTTCACTTCATATAATTTTTCTTATTGAAGCTGTTAAAGTCATTTACAAAACAGTTGTATCATGATACTTTTAATGTTAATTTTCAAAAGCCAATAGTGTATATAATTAAAATTTAAAGCTAACATTCTTTTGATTTTATAGTTCCTTGCACGTTGTAAGGAAACCCATGCTTTAGGTAGACCTGGGGATGTAGAGGAGGTGGCCAAGACAATTGCATTCTTAGCTTCAGAAGATGCCTCCTTTATAACAGGAGCATCAATACCTGTAGACGGCGGGAGACATGCCATGTGCCCAAGATAATTTGACCCAAAAAGAAATTGATTATGATTGAATTGTTTATTCTTGAATTGCAAATCTATTTTGCGCTATACAAATAATGAGGCTTCTAACCTCAAGAATATATTGCCACAGTGGTCAGTTTTTTTTTTTTTTTTTAAATCTTGATACAAAAGTGAAATTTGTGGTCTCTGATTAATTATTTGGTGCATACCATTAAATGCTTATTTCATGAATCCTAGTATTATTACAATTTTGCCAGAAGTAAATGTGTAAATAAACGTAAGGTTAAACAATGGATCAGGATTCAATTAGTCTTGCACAACAAACACAAAATAGCATTCAAGTATTACATTAGATTATTTTGCAATCAGTATTTTATATATAGTACATAAAGAATGAGAATATAAAATATTTTAACAGAATTTTAACTGTGGTTTTAGGTAAGGAAGTTGTGTATCTATACAGTAATATATATAAGAAGTGATGCCTTATAATGTAATAACAGGAGTATGGCAAAAAAAAATGTAAGCTTACAACTGTGCGTTTCAAATACAATGTTGTACTTTTTCATATTAAACTGAAGAAAATACAAGTCCTAATACTTTTGAGAGCAAATTTAAGGCTGAACATCTATTGTTCTCACAGAAAGCACAATGTTTACTCTGTCAGTCAAAACGATATGATTACGTATGTCCTTTGTGATATTGAATAGTAGTAGCAATATCAGAAGGAAAAAATGCAATGTAATTTTTATGCACATGCTGTATTTTCAAATATTTGATAAAATAACTGATTTAATAAAAGTTTTATTTTTTCATGAGGGGTTACCAAATTATATTATCTTTTCTCATGAATAAGGTAGCACTGGAAGTTATGTCCATTATGATTCTTGCATGCGAGCAATACATTGTAGACCTTACAGTTGGGTATTACCTTTGTCCAAGCAGGCTCAGTCAAGAGGCTGAAATAACATGATGGAAGTATGTAGAGTAGGATAATAATTTTGGCATTTTGTCTCGTGTGTGTATTGCACAATTTGTTAAACCTTTCGATGCCAGCTAAAATCAGGGTATAAGTCAGCTCAGCTCCTGTACTACATTTTATGGGCATATTTGGAACCAAAGAATCCAAGGTATAGTTACTCCATGCACATGTTATTTAAAGTGCACTGTGTACAGAAGAGACAAAATGCCAAAATGATCAATCTACTCAACGTACCTCTGTCTTGAGAGCACAACCACCTTAAAGGTTGCATATCCAACATGTGTCATGCAGGTCACCATGTTGTAAAGTTTTACAGCAGTCCATGGTACACTGGTACACAGTGAAAGTCACACAAATTTTTCTACTGCATATGCATTGATTTTTTCCTGCTGACCAGGCAAGTTAACAGGCATTCTACATAGGAACCAGTGGAAAGATGACCCATTTCAATACTTTTCTAAACCAAAGATTTTGTTCCTTGGGCCAAACCACCAACACCTACATGTAGTGCTGAGGAACAAAATATCAACGTTATAAAAATGTTAGCTTGTCATGGACAAAAAGTTGGCGGAAAAAGAGAGTTGACAGTATGGCATTATACACATTATACACCTGAACACCTTGCAGAGCCAGGGAGCATAATCAGGGGTGTTACTAAAAATAACCTTGTCCCACGATGCTGTTAAAGACTAGCTTAATAACAGCAGGAATTTCTTGTTTATATATTTCAGACATGCTGGAATAATAAAAAAATTATGTCAGTTCCAGTTGTTGGTCCTTCTAAACTCGACGTCCAAACCATCACCTTTGTTTACTATGCCTAGTAAAATGTGGAGGGAGATGCACTTTTTAAAATAATAACAAGCCCAACTTTTAAAAAATAAATTTCAATAAATAAAAGAACTGACAAAAATTCCAGTTTGCTCTTTATTGAAAATTGAACTGCAATACACATTCCTGTCACAGGTCCCCGATATTATTAGAAGCAAAAAAATGAATAAATAACCAACTTTGTGCGCTTGCAGCTTTAGAAAATAAGCAATACTAAGTTAATCCTGACAGAATAAAAACCTTTTTTCGATTTCCTTACTTAGGAGAAGTGGGTTCTTTTGAAGTTATATTTATACATACTTTTTTCTTTTAATGAAGCCATATGCCTTCACTGATTTCAAGTCCTTATAAAACAAATGTTTAATTTTCTTTCAAATGGGGCATTTCTCCAAAGTAAAATAAATTTAGACCAGAGCAGAGACCAATTTAAAAACTTTAACTTTGATCACTTCTAAAAGATCCAGATACAAAAAATCTTACTTTTTCAACATTTTTTCTATAACAACTGTTCAATGTGGCGTGCTTTATAAATATTTCTTAGAACAATCAGACACATGGTTTTATGTACAACATTTGACATTGGAAGCAAATCAAATAGCTTTCTGTTTGCGTATGTTTTGCCAATCACACTTTGGTACTGATACAAAATACTTTATGAGCTCAAACCATTCCATTCATGAAATAGGATTCATTGGACCTACCAAATACAGCAAATTTTATGGCATTTTAGAACTGTCTAAAATATAATCCAAACTTCTGCCACATTTACTTGACGATTAATACTCCATTATTTATGAAATGCAGCAACAACTACAGTACGTTTTAAAACATCTCATTTCTTTTAATTCAGCTCAAATGAGTCCATTATTCCTTCATCTTTTCTCCTCCAGAGTCATTTTTCTTCTTCCAGTCATTGAGTGCTGCTTTGATGGCATCCTCAGCAAGCACTGGAAAGGCAAAAAGAAAACAATGCCTAAGTTAAATGTTTTTATTTTAGCTTTTTAATGCATATCAATGTACCGGCATCATTTATTCCCCCTTCTTCCAGCCATAAAACCAGGTTATGCTGCTTATCATTCATAATCATTTTTCTCAATTACAGAAATAGAGGAGAAATGCACTTTTAACAATTACTGACTTTGGCTGAGTTCAGCAAAACAACATAGTGACCAAAAGAAAATTAATATGTCAATATATGTGAAACAATTGAAAAATAAAGCAACTATCTACTTTTATACTTAAATGTCATCATAACAATGGACAAGACTGTGCATGGATGTTCAGCTGAACAATGGGGTACAGGCATTGCACAGCTGGTTACCACATTACCAAATGATGGGGCCCCATAACTAGAAAGCATCACACATTGCAACTGAGCGCAAGCCTCTCGATTCCATAACTCACCCATACTCGCCCCATATAATACCTTGTAGCCTCTATGTGATATCCCTATTTGCAACACGATGCTTTCGAGTTACGAGGCTCAGATATTTAGTTGCATCACATAGCACATACCCCAATATAAGGTTGTATTCTATACCAATTACAAAATTATAATTTATGTCGCAAAGGGATACAGTGGTTGTTATGTAAGACCCCATTTCCACACCTCGATTGATCTAGCAGGATCAACCCATCTCCAAGGGGATTCCTCGCTAAATTCCATTCAGCTTAAACAGCTTAAATGTCTGGCACGCCTACTGAAGCTGATAAACGATAGTTACCCTCAGCTTCAGTAGGCGTGCTAGACATCAGAGTCACTTAACATGAATGCAATTTAGCGAGTAACCCCTCGAAGATAGGTCCATCATGTTAGATCTATCTAGGTATGGAAAGGTGCTAAGTCCCTATTCAGAAAGGATTATCCGAGTACTAACTGATCCGCCAACTAAATATGGATGACCCCACTTCAAAAGTGATGCCGCTTATTCCATGATGGTCTCCCCACCTCTACACACACTGTCGCTGCAGGGGCCTAGCAATTAAACCCTGGAACCAAGATATAATCCATTTAATGGCGCGTGTGGAGGCAGGGAGACCATCGGGAATCAGAGGCATTGCTTTTGAAGTGGGGTCGGCCATATTTAGTCGGTGGATCAGTTAGTACTCCGATCATCTATTCTGAATGGCCCTTAAGTCTTTCTGAGACTCAGCACAATAAATCAACAATTAAAACAGCTTACTTGAACAATGTAGCTTCACTGGTGGGAGAGATAGCTCTTTTGCAATCTCTGTGTTCTTTATTGAGGAAGCATCATCAACCTGTAAATGATGTTTAATATAATCAACTCGATAACAAGTCTCAATTTAGATCATGCAAAAAAAAAAAAAAAGAAAAAACAATTAAATTCTGATCTTTATAACCTCATCATAAATTCTATATCTTCATTTCTACCTTCTATAAATCTAAACACTTAAACATTTAACAACTCTAAAAAGTAGAACATTAAATACTCATATCAAATTATGAATATTTTACCGATTTGCCTTTCACCCACTCTGTGGCAAAAGAACTGGAAGCTATGGCTGAACCACATCCAAATGTCTTGAACTTGGCATCAACAATCTTTCCATTTTCATCAATTTTAAGCTAAAAAAAATTTATTGTATTGTTGTAAGAGTCTACAACTTTTTTGTTTGTTCTAAAACTTTCTAGTAAATGTTTGATAATATGTACAAATTGCTGTTTTCATACCATTACATATTAATTTGACTAACAATGACATTGCTCACAGATACAATGAAACTAAAAAATAAACTAAAAATCAAAAATGTATAGCTGGGGTGGGGGGGGGGGGGATCGATATTGCATGAGACTGCAATACGCAAGCCAAAGTCCATTATAACTGATGAAAACTGAAAATTTAAATCTTCAGTGGCAATGACAAAACTTTCGTTTATACTTACCTGTAGCTTCATAACATCTCCACAAGCAGGTGCCCCAACAAGACCAGTGCCAACAGACTTGTCTGATTTATCCATGGCGCCAACATTTCTAGGGTTTTCATAGTGGTCAATCACCTACAATGTTTTTAAAAAGAACGCATTCACAAATAAATATACCGATTTTACACGACCATTGAATATTTAATTACTGAATCGAAGCTGATATAATGTCCCCAAAACATTGCATACTTCATTACCTGTACAAATTATTCACAACCTCGTTTGCTCGCTGATTAGTAATACTAATTAATGGTATGTAGATCTCCATGTACTGATACACTACATATACCCAGTATATTAGTGTAATATATGTTGAATAACACTTTTACATGCATATTTCTATCAGGTAACACGCATTCAACTCAAACCTTTTTGGGTGTCTACATACATTTTTGTGATAAGCTGCTGCTTGCAATGTAACTGCTGGTTCGACAACTGGCTTCAAAGAGTGTTTGAATGCTCGAAAAAGAGCCATAATTTCTCTAAATCTCCTCGATTTCTATATCTGACCTTGACCCTGACCCAGATTTCTTCTTTTTGCTAAATTCATTCGCTTTGAAATAAAGATAGTTTTGATGTTTTCCATGATACATCTAACTACCATTTCGTCAGTTTTTAATGGACATTATTTAAAATCAGTCTCAATATAGCTTTTTTCAACTCAGGTGGGTTACTGAATATGAGGAATATTTTTCACACCGCGGCGGTGATAAAGTTGTTATGTTCCCTTTGAGTACAGTAGGCTGCAGGTCAGCAGCTAGTTATTAAACTGGACTTGATGCTAGGTAACAACAATGACTGTAAAATGTAATTGTAAAATTGTTTGCAATCCAAATGGCAAATGTTCGTTTTTTAAGTTCATTATACTCGGGCTTGGATCCTAGACTGTAGTGTAGGTATGATGTATATGTACTGCATGACGTAGTACTGAAGGGGGGTATGCTTCAAATTTATACATTGCTTTCCTGTTTGTCCTCTTAAAAGATTTTTAAACCGGGATTGAGACCAAAGCACCAAGGTTCATTTAAATTGATGTCACCAGAGAAAATTGTGATTTTGGGCACGATATTAATATGGAGGAGGTTTGTATTCTAGCAACTGCCAATTTGTGCTACGTCAGGCCTGTAGCCAGGGGGGTTCGGGGGGGGGGGGGTCGAAAGAACCGCCCCTTTTGCTGGGAAAACGTCCACTCTGGATAAAATTTGATCTAGGTAGTCTACATGAAGTTTTCATGGGAAAAGATCCACTTTTTCAGAAAAGAACCCCCCTTTTGAAATTGCTGGCTACGGGCCTGTACGTTCACCACATTCTTCGCGTTTGTGACACCTACCTGTAAAGTACCGTTCCATCCTCTGGTCAAGATGTCCAGGATCTGGGTTTGCATTAAGTGCTTCAAACATAGCATGAGTTTATCTCTCCCTTTATCGGACATTGGGCACCCCCAGTAGCCATATCTTACAGAATTGTCAATCCCAGATAGCAAGGCAAATGAAGTATTCAAATTAAATTTTCAGCTGCCATAAAAGTAAAACAAACCTAGGCAAGGCTAGTAAGGATAAACCAAAATGGGTTGGAAACATAAAATAGCAAAAGGCAAACCCAACTGATCAAGCTAAGTCAATAATTGTGAGTGAATGCAAAGAAATGAAGTAAACCAATGAACTCAAAGTGAATGTTTCAATGGAAGTCAAATAGAAATTAGAGAAAATCAAATACTGAAATAAGTAAATATGACTATTTCACAAAATAAAAGAAATCGATAGCCTTGAAATAAATTGTGAAGAAAATTGGAACTGAGTTACAAAGAAAGAAGAGGGAAATTCTTTAAAGAAAACACATCAAGATAATTTACAGGGAATAGAGATCGAAGTTAGCTGCTAAATATGTTGTCATGAAAAAAAATTAAAACCCAAATTGATTAATTAAACCAAAAAGGTATAATCACAATAAACTAATTAAAATAATAAAGAAACTGATAAAATAGGGTCTTATGTAACTAAATACAAATGAAACTAAATTAACTAAATAATCACAAAAATAATCAACCAAAAATTAAACAAAATTTCAGCTAAAGAATAACCAAATTAAATAGTGATAAATAAAAATAATAAGCTAATTAGTAAGCGACTTAAACTTTTTAAGTTAAATAAAGCTAGAAATTTTTTTAAAAAATTAATAGAAATGTAGACAATCTTATTTAACCACAAACAACTTTCCTTTAATCAAATTACAGAACAAAGTACGTTATATAATACAAGTAATCTAACTGATAGATTAATCTACCAACAAATAGATTTAAATTCTAGAAACAAAGTAAACAATCAGACAGACATTTGCCGAGTTACCTTACCTTAGATGATGCTCCTTTTTTATGTAGACTGTTGTGAACCACTCTACTATGAACTTTTTCTGTGACATTTTTAAATGGTGTGAAAATTTTACTTGAATGAATAAATACTTTAAAATCACACCGTCTGTTATATATATATTAATTTAAGTGAATGCAGCATGACAGCAGTGATAAATATAAGGTTCAACTCCTGCCACAGTCACCTACTACATGTTGATTCCTCCTGGACTATTGAAAAGGTTAAAGAACAAATTGCTGCAGAAGAAGGTGTTTCTCCCAATGACATCAGGATAATTTTTGCGGGAAGAGAGCTTCAAAATTCTACAGCCATAAGGGTGAGTACTTTGTGAACAGAAGAAGAGAAAGAAGGAATTTTTCTGTTAATCGTGTCATTAGGATCTGTTCATTAATGCATATTTTATTTGTGGTATTGTATGTGCCTTTTATTGACATGTGTCTAGGATGCAGGGTGCATTACTCCATTATTACCAGTTGAATTATCATTATGAAGTTTGGGAACTTAAAGAGTAACAAGTGCAGATATATCTTTTTATAGTGACCTCCTGCTGTGACAATGCGAGACAAAAATATATGAATGTTTTGTTAGGAAATAGACTTGGGTCTGCATAGTGTTCTCCATGTAATACAAGGCAGAAAGAGGAACCTTTCTCTTCAAGTAGAGACTGACTGTGAACGTGGTCAGGGTGAAGTGCCAGAAACAGAAAAAGAGCAGAGTAAGACTTGGATTTTAAATGTGCTCATACGTGAAGGTCATATTCACTGTTATTAACCAATGTAAATTCACAAATTCTGTAATGAACTTAATTTATTGCATGTTTTTATAGAGAAATGAGTGTAATACTTTTTTTTTAATTTTACAGGTACCCCACTAAACCATTATTACATCTTCTGTAAAAATGAATGCAAGAAAGTCTGTGCAGGCAAACTAAGAGTAAGGTGCTCTAAATGCAAGCAAGGTTCTTTTAGGCTGGAACAAGTAAGTACAGAGTCTATGAGCGCATTCTCAACGAAGTAAGCCAGGCTTTACAAAGCCGGTGACCTAAAAATGGCGGACGTACATGACAGAAAAACCGCCTAATCTTTTAATAGTCTCTCCGCCTCCCCACACGTCGTCCCTGCGGGGTACAGTAATTAAATCGCGTCTCCGTTCGCCATGCGGAAGCTACCTGAGAAATATTAAGTGCGCATGCTCATCAGTTAAACTCGTGGTGAAGAAATCATGGCGGCTGAAGGCGATCGAAGGAAAAAAGCTCTTCTGTTCTATTATCTTTGAAAACAGAGACGAAAAAGGAATAATTTGGCAGCAATGAATCGACTATCTACGGAGATAATATCACCAGAGATATTCACGGAAATATTAATGTTCGGAGCCGAGATTTAATTACTGTACCCTGCAGGGACGACGTGTGGGGAGGCGTGTGAGAGGCGGAGAGACTATTAAAAGATTAGGCGGTTTTTCTTTCATGTACGTCCGCCATTTTTAAGTCACCGGCTTTGTAAAGCCTGGCTTACTTCGTTGAGAATGCGCTCTAAATGTAGTGATTATGAGTACAACTTATATGCTGTTATTTCAGTAAGTATTTATTTGTTACATAGTGTTGTTGCTTACAGCAACAATTAAATTTACTTATGGTTTTCCACCGTACAACTAGTCATCTACTTTGTTATGCAAATACTTTATTCAGTATATAGACACCCAACAAGTATTCAATGGTGCGCCCTGGTTGTTTTGAAACCAACTAGCAAAGAGTTGCTCAGGTTGCCAGGTCTCAGGTTTTTTATTGTACCTATTTCGGCAACATCTGTGGATTGCCATGGGCAAGAAATGCCATATTTCTCTGTATGTATTTGTAAACCATTTATTTGTAACAGTATAATTAGTGATGTCTAGTCAAATCTATAAATATGTTGCACAACACTTCCCATTTCATATAATCTATTTGTTAATCTTTTTTTCTATTTGTTTATTTTGCCTCATATCTGTATTTACTTCAAATGATATATTTGTGTATTTTACATTATCAGTCATTTTGTTATTTTGTATTTTAAGTTTCACCACTTCAACATTCATGCTTGAATAAACACGTGACCACTCTCCATCGTTGTTTGTATTTGCTTAGTATGGGATATGTTTTAAAACTGTTACAGTAAATATATCTCTTCTTCGTACACATTCTAGGAGCCATCATGTTGGGATGATGTTCTAAAGCCAGGTAGAATAATGGGAGTGTGTGAAGAAAAGGATTGTAGTGGAGACACAGCAGTAAGTTTTGTTATTTGTTCAGGTTCTACATTTATACAGAAGTACATTAAGAAATGTTAATTTAAAAACAATATACTGGTGTAAAGTTGTTTTTAAAATAAGTATTACTAAATTTTAAGGCTAGGGCTTTTTTTTAGGAATTTTTCTTCAAATGTGCTAACCATTCAAGTACAGAAGACGAGTCCAGTGTGGTGCTTTACCTCATCAAGGCCAATACTAGAAATGTAGAATGCATAACATGTTTAGCTATCTGGTAATGTAATGTTCTGATATTCTGTTTTTATACCTTTTTAATATATTAAAACCCCTTTTTTATGTAAGAAAAGCCGTTAATTTTATTCCATTTTCATTAAGACCAAATAATTTATCAGAAAAACTATTTTGCTCAATTCATTTACAGCTCCCTCATTTCCGTTTTATTGCTGTATTTCAGTGATCCAGTTTTAGTGTTCCCTTGTTTGGAAGGGCACTCCATGTGTTTAGATTGCTTTAGAATATATTGCCAAACAAAGCTGAATGATAGGGATTTTATACAACACCCAGAGCTAGGCTACACACTTCCCTGCCCAGGTATGATATTGCAAGCAGTGCCAAATTCTATATACCCTACATTCAAGGCTTCTTCCTTGCATATTCATCTAGTGTAAAAATGTGTTTTAGAAGGTGGTGGCTATTTCATTACTCAAGTTAAATGGCTATTTCAGATATTATGAACACAAAAATATAAGAGTCTAAGACATGGAATTATTACTACTGCCTATTGTTGAAAATCTTCGAAGAAAACCATTCATCATTTTGAGTTTATATATGAGTAAATTTGCAGATAGTATTTTTGTAAAATGAATAACTTGTACACGGTTTTCTACATGCTTCCTAAGCATTGATCATTGATGTTTCTTAATATTTTTTCAGCGGGTTGTGACAATTCTTTGATAAATGAAGTTCACCATTTTAGAATACTTGGAGATGATCAGGTAAAATATCCAGGAGCGGATTCAGATATATTTTCTGACAGTCTTCCAAATTATCTTTGTTGCTCCGTTCTTCATTTTTGACCGTCTTCCGACAGAAAAAAATTAGATACCCGTCAATGTAAACTTGAAAATCTGACTGTCTTCCGGAAGACCCAGAAGATGCCCTGAATCTGCCCCTGATATCAGCATGAATTCATTACAAGCAGTGTTAGGTTTTAATGTTTTGACACAGTCATAGACACTAAACCAGTAATTTAAGAAATAAAGACCTAGCAAAATCTGCTCTTGTCAACTATAGTCCAGCAAAGAGACATCAACACCATTCACAAGACTTTGCTACCATAGTAAAGCCATTTTTAAAATCACAAATGAACTTGAATTTGAAAACACTAAGACCTGCTACAGTCCAGTCTGTTTTGCTTGCACCTTGTTTGTTGTTTAAATTGTTAAGACAGAAATCTTAAGAACTGTATAGGTGAGATTCATATTTCTGAAAAGATCTAAATAAATGATTGTTTGGTAATAAAATTGTATTTCCAGTATGACAGGTACCAGAGGTTTAGTACAGAGGAGTGTTTACTTCAGATGGGAGGTGTGCTGTGCCCTCAACCAGGCTGTGGAGCTGGACTTCTGCCTGAAGATGAACAGCAGAGGAGAATAGAGTGTGCAACACCTCAGGGATGTGGAGTAAGTACCAAGATATTGAATGGTTTGAAATAGAGACAAAAGATGTCTTAGCCGTGGCACAACCAAATACTAGAAGGTCTATGTGGCATAGATTTAAACTCCTCCTAACATTTGGCAAACTTAGGCCATCTCAGCAACATGCAGGGGTAACAGCACACCTCCCTTTAACTTATTTGATAGTTGATATCTCTCATGTAAAAGCACTTGTCAGTGTGATAAGCTTATATTGATTGACATGATTAATCACTGTGCTTATGAATTTTGTGACGAATAAGTAGAATTCTGATGGATTGATAGCCTAACAAAATGAAAAGATGGGCATCCTTCCTAATATTCACTGGAAATCTGATATAACTGCAATTAATACATCATTTTTTATGATTTAGTTTATCATTGCATTGCATTGAATGTATATTTTAAGTTATGGCTTGTAGTACAAACCCATACATTTAATCTTATAGTTTATCTTTTGTCGGAGGTGCTTCCAAGCTTTTCACCAAGGTGATTGTGATCAGAGACTGATGGATACTGCATCTACTACAGTATGTTTCACACGCTATTACATAATTTTTTTGACTTTTTTTTTTCATGTAGTATCATACTTAGTCATTACGTGGGGGTAAAAATTGTCTTGGTGAATTTTTTAACAGGAAAAACTCAAAAATAAATGAAATATGCAGTAAAGAATTAAAACTGTAAACTATAGGCTCTATGATAAAACTAGAAAAGCACTCCGAGAGCGCAGACCTCTGCCAAGGCAGCAATTTTTGATTATTATTGATAATTGATTGATTATAGATCCAGATCACCATCAAAATTGGTCTGTAACTTTTTGAGTTATGTTGACGACAAACAAACAAACGGACAGACACACAGGGGTGAAAACATAACTCCTTGGCAGAGGTAATAATATTCTGTAACAGTCATGTAAGAACTTGATTTTTTGTAAAAGACCTTCAATGAATTGAGACCTATTTGTATAAGCAATTGTAATTATCAATGACATTTTATATTATTTACTTCACAGGGCTATTCTGTAGATCCAGCCAGGGCAGAAAGAGCAAGGTGGGAGAGGTTGTCTAAAGACACCATAGGAAAGACAACAAAACCCTGTCCACAGTGCAATGTCCCTGTTGAAAAAGCAGGTAATAAATGTTATTTCACAATTCACTGAATGACAGATTTTGAATTAAAATGGGAAGTAATATATCATAACCAAATACTTATCCCTATAAAAATGGTCTCTGTCTGGATTTTAAAGTTTTGTCCTAGTTTGAACCTTGATTTTCTACCCATTTAATAAAGACATGACAGAATAAGAAGAAAGTAAATCCAATCTCTTCCAGGTGGATGTATGCACATGCAGTGCACACGATGCAAGCTTGACTGGTGCTGGCTGTGTCATTCACCATGGAGTAGAGAATGCATGGGGAATCACTGGTTTGGATGACAATGTACACTGACAGTCTTGCTTAATTTGACACTTGGCACTAAATATCCCAGAAGTTCAAATATCTGGAGAAAATTGAAATGCTATGCTATTTCTTACATGTATCATTCTCATTTAAGTAACAGTCATAAGGCAGTGTTGAAGATTTTGATATGCTGAGGTTCTACCACATCATAATTTCAGTCAAGGAAAAATAATAAACATGGGAGTTCTGCAGAAGTGCAGACTTTATTTATCCACAATTTTTCTTGAACTTGCTCATCAAAATTGAAGATTTTTGCACTATCTTCTATTATCAATTTAACTGGACATTCAAAGGATGTGTGCTGGTAACCATTGGCAAAGTGCCCATTGTCAAATTTTTAAAATAATTTGCTATTATAAAGTTTATGAAAAAATATGTGGTTTGAGGCATCATTACTTTGTATTTTTTTAATGAGTCATGTGGGGATGGGGGAGCCAGACTTAGCTGTTGTATGCAGTCTAATGAATCAAACCAACTTGTTTCAGCATATATATTACATAAATGAATTTTTCCATTGAAACATGTCTTGTGGTGTAAAAAGGAGTAATATGTTAAATACTTGTGGCGTGGCACAAGTAAATGGGAAAGAAATTGTATTTTTACATCCCAGAGAAGAGAGGGAGGAACGATGTTATTTTCTCACAGAAGATATCACCGATTTCACTCCACAGTATGAAAGTCTTGTACATGTAACTAGGACAACTTGTTTCAGTATATTTATTCATTTTATGTAACTTTTCTCCTAGACCAGCATGTGTTGGTCTAAATAATTGTATTGATGACCAATATACATTTTGTACAAGGCTCTGTAAAGAATAGTAAAAAATGCTGAAAGCCAAAAGCTGTTACAGTAACAAAAAAAAAATCATTTGTAAAAGCACTCTAAATAGCTGTTTGAAATGTTTCCATTAAACATAAACTAAACAAATATAAATCATCCAAAAATAATGATAAGGTAAAATTAAAAACTGAAAGAAAATATAGTATACATAGTAACAGTTATGGCCAATAATCTGTATGACAACGAAATTAAATCACCTAAAAAGTACTTCATATGATTATGTATGTGATATAGACCTTGTATAGAACGCACTGCAATACAAAATATACAAATATGGGAATAAAAGTGTATAAGAAACTGGATAATTAATCAGATGTGCTGTCCATAACACCTTCTGTCTTGTTAATACTATCACTGCTTGATGTTGTAAATGTGAGGCATCCAAACAGCCTTCTCCACAACATAATTTTCAATTGTATCCCTGCCTTATGGCAAACCCCATATACCACAGGACTGAAGTGATATGTGCATGCACAACTTCCAACTGTCTGGGCACCTAATTTACACTGACAGTACCTGCCACTGATGAGTCTAGTTTTGCTAGGAAGGCCTGAATTCATAGGTTGCACCAGTGGCTAGCTATAGATGTGTGCCTTGACTGTATTTGTTTTCCCTCTTATCAGCACTCATCCTTTACTTATTAAGTAACAAATTAGACTTAAATTCATCTTTTCCATTTAAATACTATGGTTATGATTTCATTGCCTACCATCAGCAATTAACAATCCAACAAAATATTTGTAAAAAGTTTTTTTAAAAAGTATTTCATATAAAGCAAATAAGAAGGAAGCACTAAACGTAACCAATTGAACTGTATCACATCAATTTAACTTGGACAAGATAGATAGAATATTTGTTCAGCCTTGGGGAAATTTGTTTGGGGGGAAGGGTGGTCAAATTTTGTTCAGTGTGATATATATTTTAATTGTTGTATCAGCGAGCGATGCCGGTGTCAGAAACAACAAAACTGCTGTCTCAGTTCCAAAATCAAAAAGGTTGCTTTATTCAATTTCAATCAGATATTTATTACAAATTGCTAGCCAAAATAACATTTTTTCATGTGTTCCTCTTTTACTTTCCATTGAGAAACTCGGGAAGATAACTTCACACGCATCTAATGAATGCCAACATGACTTTTACTTTTGACTTCGTTCAAGTACGTGTGAATAGAATACTTCCACAGTCCCTCAACTTTGAACCCAAATAAACCTTATCATAATTAATCTCCTGCTCAAAACTTATTTGAGCCTCAAAACTTTCACAAATAAAATTTAACTAGAAGATCATAGAGGCGATACCGCCTCCAGATATTGTGCCACCAGCTGGAGTAAGCGCATTCGTATGGAACCCCCCCCCCCCAAAAAAAAGGGGGACACCGCCACCAGTCTTGTGCTTGACAAGCTCTATGAAATGCAATAACAAGAGTTCTCAAAATATGCAAAAAATAAATAAATAAATAAAATTGAAAAAAAAATAACTGTTAAAATGGTCCAATCAAGTAGATGTTCGAATTGACTTGTATTTTCCTAACATTGGGCCATATTTGTGGAAGTTATGCTATTTTTTCATTTTTTTCAGCATAAATGCAACACCGATAACACGATAAGCGAAAAATCGTTTTACTTTTTGGCTTATAAGTTACTGAAATGATGAATATTCATAATACGCAGGTCAAGTTCGAAAATCAGCCTGATCGGGCCATTTTTATGGAAGTTATGCTGTTTTTTCACTATTTCAGCATATGTGCAACACCGATAACACATTTCAAGGAAAATCAATTGGCCAATCGTCTTGAAATTCACAGGGGTGATCAGATTTACTAAAATACAGATGAGGTTGGAAAATAAGCTTGATCGGTTCAGTTTTGGTGAAATTGTGCCTTTTTTTTGTATATAAGTCTTTTTTCCTCGGATTTAATTCTTAGGCATGTTAACAATCTCATTTGTGAACTAATTAGTAATGTAAAAGTGTTCTTTTGACATTTTCTGCATCTTAACAATATTGTTAGTTGATTATATAAAAATGATGGTAAACCTGTTATTGTGCATTGTGTAATTAAGTGTCAAAAATGGAAATAAACTCATATCTTTACTGTTTGTCAGATTCAATCATTCACTATGTTCAGAATCTCAGAATGGAACAAATTAGACATTTAAAATTGTTCTATTTATATTTTTCCTATGTCAACAACTTTCTTAGTTGATCATTTAAAAACGACAGTAAATTGATTATTTTGATATATGTAAAAAAAGTGTTGAAAGTGGAAAGAAATTCATTTCAGTACAGTTATCTCTTGTGTACATTTTGGCATTTTGAAGTTGTGACTCTGAACTTCCATGGCCCTGAAGACCTTTCCATATCAAATTTTCTGAATATCCATGATACTTTTATTTTATTATTAAAAATTGATGGTCATTATGCTATTAAGCATTATGTAATATTGCATCAAAATTGAAGACAACCCCATTTTAGACAATGCCTCCATAGTGACCATTAAAGGAAAACCAAGTCACTTACTCTTCTCAAACTTACAGAAATGTAGCATAGCACTAAATTATAGCTTCAGTTGGAAAACCTGTTATATCGGTTAACTTTCTTGGAAATTATATAGTTTTTTGTTACAATTAAAATTTTCACATATGGACATTTTCAAGGTGTGACTTAGTCTTTGAACTTCCATTGGCTTGAATACCATTGCTAGTCACATCTTTTGAATAGCTATGATACATTTACTTTATTATTAAAAATTGATGGCCATTGTGCTGTTAAGCATTATGTTAAATTGC